TTGAATCTCGTGGGCATTATGGGAGGACTGGAGACAGCCAAGGACACAGCCAACACTCGGCGGGGGAGGGGCGCTAACAAAGGCCGGATTGCAGGACAGTCTGCGATGTTCACCTTCCCAGAGACCTCAGGATCCAGGCTGCTGGGAACAGCGGGGACATGGGAGTCCTGGCTCCCGGCACCTGCTACCTGCTCTCTGTGACCTTGAGTAGACACTGGCTTGTGTCAGGTTCATTCCAGCATAACATGAGTAAATAGTAGTCAGAACAGCATGGAACTGGCACAAAAGCATACAGATCAATGGAACAGAATAGAGTGCCTGGAAACAAACCCAGGCCGGTACTGTCAATCAATGTTCGACAAAGGAGGCAAAAACATACAATGGCGTAAAGATAGGCTCTTCAATAAACGGTGCTGGGGAAATGGGACAAACACATGGAAAAAAAATGAGACTAGACCACCTTCTTACACTATAAATAAGAATAAACCAAAAATTGGTTAAAGGCGTCCTGCCTGTTTGCTCAGTTGTTAGGGCTTTGGCTAATCTGGAGGAAACTGCTCTAGGGCTATTAATTCTGTTCAAATTCTCCACCGCCCAGGCACTGGCTGGTAGCACTCGCTAGCTCCCAGGTGGCCGTGGTGGTGGTGGCAGTGGCGGCAGCGGCGGCAGCGGCGGTGGTGGTAGTGGTGGCGGCGGCGGTGGTAAGCAGTGGCGGTGGCGGTGGCGGTGGCGGTGGCGGCGGCGGCAGTGGCGGTGGCAGTGGCGGCGGCGGTGGCAGTGGCGGTGGCAGCAGTGGCGGTGGCAGTGGCGGTGGCAGTGGCGGTGACAGCGGTGGCGGTGGCAGTGGCGGTGGCAGTCGTGGCAGCAGTGGCGGCGGCGGTGGCAGCGGTGGCAGTGGCAGTGGCGGTGGCGGCGGTGGCAGTGGCGGCGGCGGTGGCAGTCGTGGCAGCAGTGGCGGTGGCAGTGGCGGCGGTGGCAGCGGTGGCAGCAGTCGCAGTGGCGGCGGTGGCAGCAGTGGCAGCGGCGGTGGCAGTCGTGGCAGCAGTGGCGGTGGCAGCAGTGGCGGTGGCAGTGGCGGTGGCGGCAGTCGTGTGTGGCTAATTCTGGTCAATGAGTTAGAAGAGTCAGTCACATCCAAGCCAGAACCTCCCACGAGAGACCCTCCAGAGCTCTCTTCCCTCTGGCACAGCTACATTCAATGGGTGGATGTTCCTTGGATGAGAGTAGCTCCCTGCCAGCCTCTGGTGAACACAGCACCAACGAGGAAAAACCTTAGCGGTCTTATCCGGGCAGTGGATAAGCATGGCGCCGAGTTCCCATCCCCTTCCTGAGATAGGGGGGATTTGTCGCCTGGTAACACTGGCCGGATGCAGGGACATCTATCAGGGCTTGCTTCATCCAGCTGCTGTCCAAAATGAGGGCCTCTCCCTGACCAGCCCCCTCTTCTGACCCATAACGTTCTGTAGTTCCTGTCTCCGATTTACATCCTTCAAACTTTCTGTCCCTGACTCGCAGAATCCTCCATTCTATTATTCCCAAACTCCTGTTTGTTTTGGTTTCTCCTTTTTATTGAGTTTATTGGGTGACACTGGTTAACAACGTTACAGAGGTTTCAGGTCCACAATTCCACGACACATCACCTGTACACTGTGTGTTCACCACCCCATCACGTCTCCTTCCATCACCATTCGGCTCCCCATCCCCTCCCCCTCCCCCTCTCACCTTCCCCTGCTCCTACTTCCCTCATCAATCACCACTCTGTTGCCCATGTCCATGATTTTTTCTTGTTTTTGCTCAATCCCTCCACCCTCATCCCCCACACACTCCCCCAGCCCCACCCAACGGCTGCCAGCCTGCTCTCTCTGAGTCTGTCTTTATTTTGCTTATTCAGTTTGTTCATTAGATGCCACATATGAGTGAAATCCTAAGATACCTGTCTTTCTCTGACTGGCTTATTTCACTTAGCGTAGTGCTCTCCAGTCCATGCAGGCTGTCACAGCTGTTTTATAGCTGAGTAGTATTCCATTTTGTAAATGTACCACCACGTTTTTATCTGCTTCCAAGCTTTGGCTATTGTAAATAACGCTGCAATGAACACAGGGCTGCACATAGTCTTTCCGTACACACTGCTTTCAACAGCAGCTGCACCAGTCTGTGTTCCCATCAAGAGTACAGGAGGATTCCCTTTTCTCTGCATCCCCGCCAACGCTTGTTTGTTGCTTTATTGATGACAGCCATTGTGAGAGACGTGAGGTGATAGCTCATAGTTCCAATGTGCATCTCTCTGGTGATTAGTGATGTTGAGCATCTTTTCATATGTCTATTGGCCTTCTGTATGTTCTCTTTGGAGAAGTATTTGTTCAGGTTCTTTGCCCATCTTTAAGTTTTTTAAAAATTTATTTTAGAGAAGAAGAAGAAGAAGAAGAAGAAGAAGAAGAAGAAGAAGAAGAAGAAGAAGAAAGAGAGAGAGAGAGAGAGAGAGAGAGAGAGAGAGAGAGAGAGAGAGAGAGAGAGGTCAATGATGGGAGAGAATCAGTGATCAGCTGCCTTCTGCATACCCCCTGCTGGGGAGAGAGAGAGAGAGAGAGAGAGAGAGAGAGAGAGAGAGAGAGAGAGGGAAAGAGAGAGAGAGAGAAACATCAATGATGGGAGAGAATCAGTGATCAGCTGCCTTCTGCATACCCCCTGCTGGGGATCAAGCCTACAACTTGGGCATGTGCACTTGACTGGAATTGAACTCGGGACTCTCCAGTCCACAAGCTGATGCTCAATCCACTGAGCTAAACCAGCTAGGGCTCTTTGCCCATTTTTTAATTGAATTTTTAAAAATATAGTTTATTGATTTTTTAAAGAGAGAAAGGGAGAGGGACAGAGAATTAGAAACATCGACAGAGAGGGAAACATCCACCAGCTGCCTCCTGCAACACTCCCCCCACCGGGACTGTACCTGAAACCAAGGAACATGCCCTTGACCGGAATCAAACCCAGGACCCTTCAGTCCTTCAGTCTGCAGGCTGATTCTCCATCCACTGAGCCAAACCAGCCAGGGTGGATTGCCTCTATTTTCTTTAAGGGTTTTATGGTTTTGAATCCAACATTTAAGTCTTGAATCCATTATTTTGTTAATCCACACCTGAGAATATATTTTTTTCCATTGACTTTTAGAGAGTGACAGAGCGAGAAAGAACCATCAATGTGAGAAACATCAATTGGCTGCCTCCTGCAAACGCCCTGACCAGGACTGGGGATCAAACCTTCAACCCACGGCCATGCCCTGAGGGGAATTTTGCCCACGACCTGTTGGTCCATGGGCCAATGGCCTAAAGCCTGAGCAGACGTGCCAGGGCACCTTTAACCAATTTTTGGTTTATTCTTATTTATGGTGTAAGAAGGTGGTCTAGTCTCATTTTTCCCATGTGTTTGTCCCATTTCCCCAGCACCATTTACTGAAGAGCCTGACTTTACTCTGTTGAATGTTTTTGCCTCCTTTGTCGAACATTGATTGACAGTACAGGCCGGGTTTGTTTCCAGGCGCTCTATTCTGTTCCATTGATCTGTATGCTTTTGTGCCAGTTCCATGCTGTTTTGACTACTATTTACTCATGTTATCATTTGCCCCTTAAAGCATGTTTCTTTACATGTAACAGCAGAGGCTGGACTCCTCCACGCCTGGGCTTTCCTGCAGTCTCCATGGAGACGGTCCCTATTAGCCCTACTAAGGACCCAGGGCTGTGGTTCAGACAGAGCAGAGAGAAGGGGACAAAGAAAGTAAGCAGACTTTCCTTTGGCGAAGAGCAAAGGGCTGTCAGAGCGATGACACGGATGAGAACGATTTGACATGCTGCTGCTTGCTTTGCATACGGAGGGCACTCACTATGTGCAAGGCGCAGAGTGGGCGACAGAAGCTGAGAGTGACGCTGGCCCACCAACAAAGAGGGTCTCCCACGTATTATCTGCTAGCCGGACAGAGAGTGAACCCCCTAGAAATGTACCTTATCTACCCCCAATGACAACATACAGTAGAAATAGCTTATGAAAACACTTATTGGGAAATAATGTTAAAGCAACATTTACTGAGCCCTCGGTGTGCCACCCTCGATGAGGGCTGTGAGGAACCGGAGGGCTAACTCTTGCCCCGGGGTCTGTCGTCGTGTAGAGGTGCTTGGACAGCACAGTGAGGAACAGATTACTTCAGTATCCTCCTCAAGGGCACACTCGGTGCCATGTGGGGCTGAGGAAACGGCTGAACCAGGCCAACGCAAAGTCCCGGAAAGCGAGATGCAGATCTACCCATAGCCCAGGGCAGAGTAAGACCCGCGCCGTGGACTATGGCGGTGCGAAGAGGACAGGGCCATTAGCATCAGCACTGGGATGTGGCAGTTCTCTACTAGCCTCGGGGAACAGCCTCTGCCCCATGGCGGCCTGGGCCTAGCTGACATCCACCTTGGGTGAGCCACCTCCTTGCTGGGTGCATTAAAACATTCAAACGGGCCCTGGCCGGTTTGGCTCAGTGGATAGAACGTCGACCTGCGGTCTCAGGGGTTCTGGGTTCGATTCAGGTCAAGGGCATGTACCTAGGTTTCGGGCACATCTCTGGTGGGGAGTGTGCAGGAGGCAGCTGATCGATGCTTCTCTCTCATCAGTGTTTCTGGCTCTCTATCCTTCTCTCTTCCTTTTTAAAAAATTAATAAAATATATTTTAAAAAAACCCCTCAAACGGTGCCAACTTAATGGGCTTATTTTTGAACTAGAACATTAAGTACCTAGACCAGTACGTCGTAAGCGCCCTACTGAGCTGTTGCATTACTCCAATGCAGAGAAGCCCACGTTAAAATTCAGACGCGTGAGAACAGGAACCGGAGCCCAAACCTCGGGAAGCCCGATCGCAACGGGAGGGCGGGAGCGTGCACGCGCCAGCGCAGGTGCGCGAGTTCCCACGGCGGCGTGGCCGTAAGGTAGCTCCGGCGCGTCGTAAAAGGCCGCACGCCAGCAGCGCCCCGGCGGACGGCGGGGAGGCCATTTTGGACGCCGTCTCAGCTGCGGAAGTTGAAAGGACCTGTTGCTCGTCAGGGTGGCGGCTGGGCAGAGCTTGGCCCCGCGCCCGGCGCTCGCCGTCTGCCGGCCGGCCTCCCGGGGGCGGTGACCGGGCGGCGCGATGCGGCCCGTGGACGCGGACGAGGCGCAGGAGCCCGAGCCGGACGGGGAGAGGGTCCGCGGCCCCGCGCCCGCCGCCGCCCGCCGTGACGTCAGCGCGCTGGAGCGCGAGCACGTGCGCGCGCACCTGCGGGCGCGCCGGCGGCTGCGGGAGATGGAGAGCCTGCTGGACGCCGTCCACGGCGAGGCGGAGGCCTCGGGGCAGCGCGCCCCGGGCCCGGCGCGCGGCCCCGGCGCCGAGGCGGAGCAGCGGGTGGTGAGGCTGTGCGCGCAGGTGGAGCGGAAGGCGGCGGAGGCCGCGCTGATGGGCCAGCGCATCGTGGAGATCCACCAGCAGATCGACGGCCGCGAGGGTTGCTGAAGGGCGCGGAGCTGGTGCTGGAGGGACGGTGACGCCCCGCACCGACGGGCTTCGGCCCTGGGGGACGGAGGTGGGGGCGGGAGCGGCTGTGGGTACGCGGAGGCTGAGACTGCTGAGGTTTTTTTTTAAAAAATATATTTTATTGATTTTGTACAGAGAGGAAGGGAGAGAGAGAGAGAGTTAGAAACTTTTGCACACCCCCTACTGGGGATCTGCCCGCAACCAAGGTACATGCCCTTGACCGGAATCGAACCCGGGACCCTTTGGTCCCCAAGCCGACGCTCTATCCATTGAGCCAAACTGGTATCGGCTCTTATTGATTTTTTTACAGAGAGGGAGAGAAAGGGATAGAGAGTTAGAAACATCGATGAGAATCATCGATCAGCTGCCTCCTGCACACCCCCTACTGGGGATGGGCCGCAACCAAGGTACATGCCCTTGACGGGAATCGAACCCGGGATCTTTCAGTCCGCAGGACGACGCTCTATCCACTGAGCCAAACCGGTTTCAGCGACTGCTGAGATTTTACTCTTAACTTTTAACGTTGCTAATTAGAGGGAAACTGGTTGGTCTGTGAAACAGCCATACACTTACAGGGTGTATTTGCAGAATGTGGACCAGCCCAGTCACTAGGGTGCAGACCTAGGTCACCGTCCCGATTTCCCGCAGCCGAGCGAGATGAGAGGTCTCCGCGGCTGGAGGCAAACCGGCCTGGCCCTGGTGCTGTGGCGAGAACCGCCGCCGGGGGGCGCCGCTGGGGGAGCCACAAGGCTGGAGGCACGGTACTCACCAGTTTTGTTTTTAAATAATTTTTTTTAATTTAACATGTAAAACTTTTTAAAAAATATATATATTATTGATTTTTACAGAGGAAGGAAGAGGGATAGAGAGAAACATCCATCAGACGAGATCGGGCGCGTTCAGGGTGGTATGGCCGTAGACTGCCTCCTGCACACCCCCTACTGGGGATGTGCCCACAACCAAGGTACATGCCCTTTCAGTCTGCAGGCCGACGCTCTGTCTCCACTGAGCCACACCGATTAGGGCTAAATAATTCTTTATTGTTGAATATCTTAAAATATATTTTTATCGATTCTTTACAGAGAGGAAGGGAGAGGGATAGAAAGTTAGAAACTTCAATGAGAGAGAAACATCTATCAACTGCTTCCTGCACACCCCCTACTGGGGATGTGCCCACAACCAAGGTACATGCCCTTGACAGGAATCGAACCTGGGACCCTTCAGTACGCAGGCTGACGCTCTATCCACTGAGCCAAACTGGTTTCGGCTATTGTTGAATATTTTTAATCCAATTTCTTTTCTTTATTGTTTTATGAGCTATGATTGCAATCCTAAGTGGGAAACTGAAGTCGGATGGGAACTTGTAACTAACGGCTCTGATGAATCGGAGTGTTTCGGGTGACCTGCGGACAGGGTAGCATTCTGCGAGGTGGCTGGGTGATTGGGTGGTGACGATACATTTTCCCGCTTGTGCTCTAGGTTATCCGCTGATGGGCCCGGCCGGTGAGGAGGACTGCCCCCGTGGAGAGGCTGAGGCCACTAGGCTTTCTCCTCCCTGCCCCTGGTTTTCTGTCTGCGTTTTCATCCTGGTGAAGGCGCTCCAGACCCTTCTGGTAGATGTCTTCATTGTCACGTTGTCACACGTGCAGTAGGATTACGTGGTGCGTGCGGTTTGGAAAAGACAGCGTAGGCATCATTTTATTTATTATTTTTAAAAAATACATATTATTGATTGTTTAGAGAGGACAGGGAGCCAGAAACCTTGATGAGAGAGAAACGTCGATCAGCTGCCTCTTGCACCCCCCCCACTGGGAATGTGCCCGCAACCAAGGTACATGCCCTTGACAGGAATCGAACCTGGGACCTTTCAGTCCGCAGACCGACGCTCTATCCACTGAGCCAAAACGGCCTCGGCTCATTTTACTTTTTATTAAATGCTCTTCCATGAAAAATGGGGCCTAGATTGTCAGCTGCTGTGTGGTCATGTTCGTTACTGTGACTGTTGTATTTTTAAAGTTTGTAAGTACACACGCTTGTGCTCTGCTGCTTTTTATGCTTCCTGGAATTTGGGGAGCCACGAGAGAGACTTGAGGTCAGCGTTCTGCACGAGAGAAGACACACCTTGGCTGCAGCTGCTGGAGCAGGAACCCACATCCGGATGGAGGGTGCGCGCCTCCTCCCTGGAAAAGACGGAGCCGCCCAGCGGACAGCTAGCATGGAGAGGGGTGGTGCGTGAATTTTGGGACTACGCAGTCCGGCAGATCAAAGCAGGAGGGCTGTGTCCTGTCTCTTTTTCTTTCTTTCCCTCCCCCCCCCCCCCCCCCAGAAATGTAATTTTTCTGTGGCACGTTAATTGGTGTACATCATGTAACCGTCTGGTGAGTAACCTAGGGGAGGGGACTGGTTCTCGTCACCACACGTATTTGGTGACTTTTTTATATGATGCAGCCGTGCATTCACAGGCTCCTCAGCCACAAACGCACACGCTGTCTGGAGGAGCTGGGGCCACGGTGGGCCTCAGGCTGAGAGCACCAGGCACCTCCCAGGCTCAGACCATGTCCACCGAGGCCATCGGCGCAGATTCTGCCGGGCTTGAGGTCAGAGCTCACGCTTGTTATGAGGAAGCTCATTTGCCTGGAAAACCAATTTTTAGAATCTTTGTACAGGTGACCAAAGCCACTGAGTTGGCCAGAAAAGGTGAGGTAAATAAATTTACTTCAAAATGAAAATTTCTCACTGTCTGTCATTGTCAATTGCTCAAAGAGGTCAGTTGCTCCTGATTTAGGAATGTGTTCATAGGCTGGTGCTGCCCAGAGGCAGGTTTGAGCCGCAGAGACTAGCAGGAGAGGAGGAGGCAGAGCCGGGAGGGGCCCCTACCATCAGGAGGTCATTCAGTCACTCACCGGGACCGTGTGCCAGCCCACAGTCCCCTGAACACGAGGAATTTCCGGGAGATGGGCTAGTAGGTGAGACCGTCTGTAACCCACAATGATAGTGTGGTGTCCCCGGTGCTGGTCTCTGCATCAGCTCGAAAACAGTGCCCAGAGGCGCGGCTCCATCAGGGAGCAGGCCCCCCATCAGGGAGCAGGCCCCCCATCAGGGAGCAGCCCCCCATCAGGGAGCAGGCCCCGTGCTGCTGCACTTGGACCTGGTGTTTGGAAGAGAACAGCGCCTGGCCATGGGCGGCAGGAAGAAAGGTATTGTCTGCGTCAGCAGTGAGTTTAGGAAAAAGCAGAAGGCAACATGGAAGGTGGGCTGTTTTATGTAGGATGGTCAGGCAGCATCTCTGGTACGTGACATTCCAGCAGAGTTTGTGTGGATACGCAGGGATGTTACATGTGTCATATATGTTTATATAGGCAATACATGTGATAGGATATTTAGGAAGTGTGTTACACACTAGTATAAACTATAACAATGCATAACTTGGAAGGAAATTCACGTGTAACCAGATCAGGAAGTAAAACCATACTAACACCCTCAGAAATTCTGCTCTCTTAATCCAGCCCTTCCTCTCCTAGAGGGAATCCCTCTTGTGACCAGGTTACCAATCCCCCCCACCCTCCCAGTATTAATATATTAAACTAGAGGCCCTGTGCACGAGATTCAGGCACTTGTGTGTGTGTGGGTGGTGCCCTCGCCCTCTCGCAGTCCGGTAACCCTCTGGCATCCTTAGTGCTGCCGTGGAGGCAGTAGAGGCTCCCATCACCATTGGCCTGTGGACTGAAGGGTCCCAGGTTCAATTCCAGTCAAGGGCATGCACCTTGGTTGCAGGCACATCCCCAGTAGGGGGTGTGTAGGAGGCCGCTGATCGATGTTTCTCATGGATGTTTCTAGCTCTCTTTCCCTCTCCCTTCCTCTCTGTGAAAAATCAATAAAATACACACACACACACACACACACACACACACACACACACACTGCTGGGCTCACCCCATTGGTGGCTGGCTTATTTGGTCTGGGTGGGGCCTGGCCTTGTAAGACCTCCCAGCTGGTGCTGGCATGGTCTCGCCACACTGGGAGCGCACCCTTCTCTGCCTCCTCATACTGTGGACAGACCTTTGGGTCACTAGCCACCGGGAGTCACCACGAACACCACAATGTGCTCAGTGACCATAACCCCTGAGCCCCATCTACTCAGGTGTTTCCCCGAACACTCTGATGCTTGGAAATCTCTCCGTGTGTCTGCCCACAGAGACACAGCCTACTGTCTGGGGTGCAGTGAGCTGCTGTGTTGTAGGCTTAACCCCATGCCTGTGACCAGACCTTCTCTGGAATGGGATCTTGGCAGAAGTAATCCCGCTAAGATGAGGTTGTGCTGGAGTGGGCGGGGCCTTAACCCGCCAAGATCGACGTCCCTCTGAGAAGAGGCAGAGAGGCCGGTGGCCAGAGACGGTGGAGGTGGAAGTGAGTGCGAGCGAGGAGCTAAGCCAAGGAACCCCAGGGATGGCAGGAGCCACCAAGGCTGGCATTGGTGAGCCTGTGGAGGGGGCATGGCCTTGCGGGCACCTCACCTTCGGACTCGGCTCCCAGAGGTAGTTCCACACCCCCGTTGCGGCCCTCTGTCCTGGGGCTGCCCAAGAACGAAAGCTCTGAAACTCGCTTTCCCCCTGAAGTAGTGTCAAGTGTATTTCTTCTTTAAAAAACATTAAAATATCAGGGTGACATTTGTTGACATTTGGGGTTCTCTGTGACAAGATGTGTATATCGCACCGTGTGCCCACCACCCAGAGTCACATCTCCCAGCACCATACAGTGGGCCCCCCTTCCCCCACCCCTCCCCTCCGGCAGCCACCACACTGCTGTGTGTCTGCTGTGTGTTCACGAGTTCCATTTCATATCCCACCCAGGAGTGAGGTCACGGTTCTTAGCTTTTTTCTGACGGGCTTATTTCCCTCAGCTTCATGTTCTCAAGATCTGTCCGTGGTGTTGCAAATGGCAGTATTCCATCCTTCCTTACGGCTGAGTTGTATTCCGTTGTGCATATGGACCGCATTTAACAAATATAACGACAGACACGGCTTTTCTGGAAGCCCCTGGTCCAGGCCTGAGCCTGACCCCGAAGGCCTGAAGCGCAGCTGAGGGCGGCTGCTGGAGGGCGGGCCCGCGGCCATGGCAGGGCGGGGGCAGGCGATGCCGTCCATGCGGGTCCCCCGGGCGTGGGCACCGGTGCGCTCGGGCGCGGCAGGGCAGCGGCAGCCCCCGGGCCTGTCCCTCGCTCGGGGACGGAGTGCTGCTGTCACAGGGTCCGGGAGAACGGGGCAGGTGCGCCCATCCTGCTGGCTCCCCCGGAAAGGGCACGCTGTTCCTCCCTCAGATCAGCCAGCGTCACGCTCTTCGGCAGCCTCCCTCTGGCGAGTGCCTGCCCGGGGGCGCCGTGCCCATCGCCTTCCTCTGGACAGCGGCTGCTCGGACCCAGTCACCGGCCCAGAGCCTCCGTGGCTGTCCCCCCGTGGGAGGGCGTCTGTCCTGTCCTGTGAAATGCTCCCGGGTGTTGCACGGCCATCGCAGGAGACACATTCGTGTCAGATACACCCAGTGGCTCAACGGCCAGTGGCTGCTCTGAGGGCCCTGAATGCCCGCTGCTCGGCCGTGGGGGAGGGAGGGGTGCTCCGGGCCAGCCTGGAAGGGGCGCGGTGTGGCCTGGCGGGATGTGGGCGCGGGTGCTGGGCACGTCCTGGCTGCCCCCAGGGAAAGACCTCCGGGCGGCGGTGGAGCAGAGGGACCGCCTGGCTGGAGGACAGTGCTGTTCTCGGTGTCTTTGCCGAGGAAATGACAAGACAAGACAGCGGGCAGTGGGCACGTGGCTCCAGGTGTCCCCCCAAGACAGACCCCCCCTCTGGGGCACAGAGATGGCCCCGGCGGCACTGCAGCGGCACCCAGTGCGTGGCACTGAGTCACAGCCCTCTGCCGCCACCCGTTTCTGATGCGGGGGAGTCAGAGGGCTTACGTGACTTGCCAGGGTCGCCCTCACGCACCCCGAGCCGGTCCTGGCTGCCAGGACGGTCTTGCTGATCTCGGCCAGGTTCCTCCTCACAGTGGAGTGCCGGCCCCTATCCCGGCCCAGACCGGGATTCCCCGGAGGGAGAGGCTATCAGGGCGGGCTTCCTGGCGGCGGCACTTCCCCAGCTGAGTTTAGAATTGAGTTTTGCGAGACAAACGCGGAGTCCGGGAGTCCATGCCGGCGGGTGGGGGTGCTGAGAGAGCGCCCGAGAGAGGCACAGCGAGGCGTGTGGGCATTGGGTGAGGGAGGGCTCCCCGGCCGGAGGGCCATCTGGCAGGCTGCTGGGCGAGCTGGCTCTTGGGATTCAGCTCTTGGTGGACAGCAATGGCCCTGGCTGAGTGGCTCAGCTGGTTGGGGCACCGTCCTGTACCCCAAGAAGTGGTGGGTGTGATTTCCGGTCAGGGCATGCACCCAGGCTGTGGGTTCCATCCCCATCCAGGCACGTGTGGGAGGCAACGGAACGAGTCTTCTTTCTCTCTCACATTGATACCTCTCTCTCTCTCTCTCTCTCTCTCTCTCTCTCTCTCTCTCTCTCTCCCTTCCTCTCTCTAAAAATTAAAAAAGAGCCGAGACCGGTTTGGCTCAATGGATAGAGCGTCGGCTTGGGGACTGAAGGGTCCCGGGTTCGATTCCGGTCAAGGGCATGTACCTTGGTTGCGGGCATATCCCCAGTAGGGGGTGTGCAAGAGGCAGCTGATCGATGACTCTCTCTCATCGATGTTTCTGACTATCTCTCTCCCTTCCTCTCTGTACAAAATCAATAAAATATATTTAAAAAAAAAATAAAAAAAAAATAAAAATTAAAAAAGAAAAAGAAAAAGAGAGAGCCGAAACCGGTGTGGCTCAGTGGATAGAGCGTCGGTCTCCAGACTGCAGGGTTTGATTCCGGTCAAGAGCATGTACTTTGGTTGTGGGCACATCCCCAGTGGAGGGTGTGCAGGAGGCAGCTGATCAATGTTTCTCTCTCGACATTTCTAGCTCTCTATCCCTCTCCTTCCTCTCTGTAAAAAAATCAATAAAATATATTTATTTATTTTTATTTATTTATTTATTACATTATTATATGTGTACATATCTTACCATTGCCCCCCTCCCATACATACCCTCCCTACCCAGAGTTTTGTGTCCATTTAGTTATACTCATACATTTAAAAAAAAAGGAAAAACAGAGAAGGCGGACAGCCATGTCCTGAAAGGAGGTGGGGCCGATCCCTGGGCGCTGCTGAGCGAGCACCACCTCCCCGGGGCGCCAGCCTCCTGCTCGCCCACTGCTCCCTCCCCTGGGCGGAGGGTGGGGTGGGAGCTGCCCAGCCTGCTGCCCAGGCCTGCCTGCCGCCTGCCGGCTGGGAGAGAAGTCCCCGCACCGCCCTGCCCACCAGGCCCAGGATGGGGCTGCCGCGCTGGCTGCCTCTGCTGGCGCAGCTGGTGGCACTGCTGTCGGCAGGGCCGCGGGCCCGGGAGCCCATCAGGGTGTTCGTGGTGCCGCACAGCCACATGGACGTGGGCTGGCTCTACACGGTGCAGGTAGGCGGCCTCCTCTCCCCGCGCCCAGCGTGGGCCTCTGCCCGGGTCTGCCCCCCTGGAGGGGTCCGCCTGCCTCCGGGGGCCTCTGGCGTGGGTGACTGGGCGGCTGACATTGAGCCGATGGCTTCCTGCCTCTGAAGCCGGCTCCCCCCAGGGCAGGGCCGCCCAGGCCCGGGGAAGGTGACGTGGCTGAGCCAGGTGTGGTCAGCCCTCGTCTGGGGGTGCTCTGGCCCATGCCCCTCCCATAAGGGGTGCAGGTCTCAGACTTGCCCGGGTTCCCTCTGCCCAAGAGGCTCCCTCCCCGATGTCGGGGGACCCGTCTCCTCCTCCTCAGGGCGCTCCTGTGGGTCACTTCCCGGTGAGGCCTGTGGGCCACCACTGAGGTCTGTCTTCCCACCCTGCCTGGGACTTCCCGTCTCCCACCAGAGGGAGCCCCCATCGGGGGGCCGCACCCCTTGATCACTGGCGTTCTCTGGGTGCCGATGGCCATGGGGAATCCTGGCTGAGCGGATTGGCACAGAGGAAGGCGGGGAGGTCTCTGACCGCCTGGGGTTTGCAGCCGCCTCCGCTTTGGGAGGAGAGGATGGGCCTGCAGGAGACGCTGTGTGCGGCCCGCACTGCGGAGGGCGATCGTGAGGCTGTGGCCGTGTCACAGGGCCCGGGCAGGAGGAGGCCGAGGCCGAGGGGAAGTCCGGTCCCGGGCACGCAGGGAGCGTCTGGGGGTGAAGACCTGCAAACGGAGATGGCCTGGGGGGAGCATGCGTGTCACCCCCTTTAACGGAAGAGGAAACAGGCCAGGGAAGGCCTGGTCACTCAGGAATAACCTCCAGCCTGCTGACGCGCTGCCCCGTGCTCTTTGCCAGCCTGGTGCCCAGCAGCCCTGGGCACGCTGTACCCGGTGACCCTGCTGGACGCAGCCCGGTCACCCCTGGGAGCCCCCTCGGGAGGGGAGGCAGTGACCTCAGGGACCCCTCCACACAACCTCCCCTGCCTGCGAGGCCCGGGCCCAGGTCCTCTCCTGGCGCCGGCCCTGGGGCACTGCCTGGGCACGGCGTGTCCTCCCGAGCCGGGAGCGTGTCCTTGGCTGCGGCCCAGGCCCCGGCGTGTCCGGGCTGTGGGCCCCAGGAGAGCAGAGGGCGGGCGGGCGGGCGGGAGGCGGCGGCACGGTCCGCTGGCTGGTGACGGCGCCCCCGCAGGAGAGCATGCGGGTCTACGCGGCCAGCGTGTACACGACGGTGGTGCGGGAGCTGGCGCTGGGGGAGCACCGGCGCTTCATCGCCGCCGAGCAGGAGTTCTTCCGGCTGTGGTGGGACCGGACGGCCTCCCGGGTGCAGAAGCTCCAGGTGACGCCGCCGGGAGGGGCGGCCCGGTCCGGGAGGGGGTGTCCGGGAGGGGGTGTCCGGGAGGGGGTGTCCGGGAGGGGGTGTCCGGAGGGGGTGTCAGGGAGGGGGTGTCCGGGAGGGGGTGTCCGGGAGGGGGTGTCCGGGAGGAGGGGTGTCCGGAGGGGGGTGTCCGGGATGGGGTGTCTGGGAGGGGGGTGTCCGGGAGGGGGTGTCCGGAGGGGGTGTCTGGGAGGGGGGTGTCCGGGAGGGGGTGTCCGGGAGGGGGTGTGTCCGGGAGGGTGTGTCCGGGAGGGGGTGTCCAGGAGGGGGTGTCCAGGAGGGGGTGTGTCCGGGAGGGTGTGTCCGGGAGGGTGTGTCCGGGAGGGGGGTGTCCGGGAGGGGGTGTCCGGGAGGGGGGTGTCCGGGAGGGGGTGTCCAGAGGGGGGGTGTCCGGGAGGGGGTGTCCGGGAGGGGGTGTCCGGGAGGGGGTGTGTCCGGGAGGGGGTGTCCGGGAGGGGGTGTCCGGAGGGGGGGTGTCCGGGAGGGGGGGTGTCGGAGGGGGTGTCCGGAGGGGGGTGTCCGGGAGGGGGTGTCCGGAGGGGGGTGTCCGGAGGAGGTGTCCGGAGGGGGTGTCCGGAGGGGGGTGTCCGGGAGGGGGGTGTCCGGAGGGGGGTGTCCGGAGGGAGTGTCCGGGAGGGGGTGCCCGGGAGGGGGTGTCTGGGAGGGGGTGTCCAGGAGGGGGGTGTCCGGGAGGGGGTGCCCGGGAGGGGGGGGTGTCCGGGAGGGGGTGCCCGGGAGGGGGTGTCTGGGAGGGGGTGTCCGGGAGGGGGTGTCCGGGAGGGGGTGTCCGGGAGGGGGTGCCCGGGAGGGGGGGGTGTCTGGGAGGGGGTGTCCGGGAGGGGGTGTGTCCGGGAGGGGGTGTGTCCGGGAGGGGGTGTCCAGGAGGGGGGGTGTCCGGGAGGGGGTGTCCGGGAGGGGGGGTCCGGGAGGGGGGTGTCTTGGAGGGGGTGTCCGGAGGGGTGTCCGGGAGGGGGTGTCCGGGAGGGTGTGTCCGGGAGGGGGGTGTCCGGGAGGGGTGGCCCGGTCCGGGAGGGGGTGTCCGGGAGGGGGGGTGTCCGGGAGGGGGGTGTCCGGGAGGGGGGTGTCCGGGAGGGGTGGCCCGGTCCGGGAGGGGGTGTCCGGGAGGGGGGGTGTCTGGGAGGGGGGTGTCCGGGAGGGGGGTGTCCGGGAGGGGGGTGTCCGGGAGGGGGTGCCCGGGAGGGGGGGGTGTCCGGGAGGGGGGTGTCTGGGAGGGGGGGTGTCCGGGAGGGGGTGTCCGGAGGGGGTGTCCGGAGGGGGTGTCTGGGAGGGGGGTGTCCGGGAGGGGGTTTCCGGGAGGGGGTGTCCAGAGGGGGGGTGTCTGGGAGGGGGTGTCCGGGAGGGGGTGTCCGGGAGGGGGTGTCCAGAGGGGGGGTGTCCGGGAGGGGGTGTCTGGGAGGGGGTGTCTTGGAGGGGGGTGTTTGGGAGGGGGGGTGTCCGGGAGGGGGTGTCCGGGAGGGGGTGTCCGGAGGGGGTGTCCGGGAGAGGGGGTGTCGGGCAGGGGAGTGTCTGGGAGGGGGTGTCCGGGAGGGGGGTGTTCGAGAGGGGGTGTCTGGTAGGGGGGGTGTATGGGAGGGGGGGGGTCTGGGAGGGGGGTGTCCGGGAAGGGCGTGTCCTGGAGGGGGTGTCCGGGAGGGGGGTGTCCGGGAGGGGGTGTCCGGGAGGGGGGGTTTCAGGAGGGGGTGTCCAGGAGGGGGGTGTCCGGGAGGGGGTGTCCGGGAGGGGGTGTCCGGGAGGGGGTGTCCGGGAGGGGGGTGTCCGGAGGGGGTGTCCGGGAGGGGGGTGTCCGGGAGGGTGTGTCCCGGGGGAGGGGGTGTCCGGGGGGGGGGTGTCCGGGAGGGGGGGGGTGGTCCGGGAGGGGAGGGGGGGTGTCCGGGAGGGGGTGTTCGGGAGGGGGTGTCCGGGGGGGGGTGTCCTGGAGGGGGTGTCCGGGAGGGGGGTGTCCGGGAGGGGGTGTCCGGAGGGGGTGTCCGGGAGGGGGTGTCCGGGAGGGCGGTATCCGGGAGGGGGGCCGGGACGCACAGGGCAGGGCCGGCCACCCCGGGCTGGCACAGGGCGCAGTGCAGTTGGCCCTCCCTCCTGGCAGCCGCACAGGACCCCGGCCTCTGCTGCTCATGGAACCGCAGCCCCGCTCCCCGCCTGCACTGAGCCCGGCTGAGCGCCCCTGCAGGCCTTCTGGGTGGCCCTGTGCCCACTTGTGTCCTTCATGGGCCTGGACCTGGGCCCCCGGCCGGGCTCAGCGGTCCCCGTGGCTCATAGGGCAGCAGGTGGAGTCCCACGCGCGGGCGTCAGAGAGGCCAGCCCCGGGAGGCGGCTGGGTGGGGCTGCCCACCCCACGGCCACCCTGAGTGCTCCCAGGCCGGGCTGTCCCTCAGGCCCCCAGCTGTGGCCGAGGGCCCACACGGAGCTTGCTGTATAATTCGTGCATATTTTCTCTCACTTTGAGATTATTTCAAAAGTAGGAATTTAGCCTGGCCAGCGCAGCTCTGTGGTTGAGTGTTGACCTTGAACCAGGAGGTCACGGTTCGATTCCTGGTCAGGGCACATGCCAGCGTTACATGCTTTGTCCCCTGTAGGGGGAGTGCAGGAGGCAGCCGATCTATGATTCTCTCTCATCATTGATGTTTTTATATTTCTCTCCCTCTGCCTTCCTCTCTGAAATCAATAAAAAAAAATATTTTTTAAAAAGTAAAAAGATTTGCCGAAGCCGGTTTGGCTCAGTGGTAGAGCGTCGGTCTGCGGACTGAAAGGTCCCAGGTTCGATTCCAGTCAGGGGCATGTACCTTGGTTGCGGGCACGTCCCCGGAAGGGGATGTGCAAGAGGCAGCTGGTCGATGTTTTGCTCTCATCGACGTTTCTAGCTCTCTATCTCTCTCCCTTCCTCTCTGTAAAAAATCAATAAAATATATATTTTTTAAAAAAGAGGCAGCTGATCGATGATTCTCTCTCATCGATGTTTCTATCTATCTCTCTCTCTTCCTCTCTGTAAAAAAAAACCAATAAAAATATATTAAAAAAAAAAAGTAAAAAGATTTAAAACCTATAACCGGCGGCAGCCACAGGCCAGGTGCTGTTCCGGTGCAGGTTGTGTGCTGAGGGGACGCAGGGACCTGCCTCTGCAGGAGGAATGAAGGGGAGTCCAGGGGAGGCCCCCAAGACGCTGTCACACGTCCCCTGCAGAGCCACGGGCTCTGGCTGTGACCGGCCTTCCCTCTGTGCCTGCCGTGCAGGTCCGCGAGCTGCTGGCCCAGGGGCGCCTGGAGTTTGTGAGCGGAGGCCAGGTCATGCCCGACGAGGCGGTGACCCACTTCGACGACCAGATCCTGCAGCTCACAGGTTCGGCCGCTCCCGCAGCCACGCTTCCTGGGCCTCCCTCCGCCGCCGACCCTCCAGCCCAGACCCGCCGCCTCCCTCCGCCTCCCTCCGACCTCCCGCCCGCCTCCCTCTGCCTCCATCCGGCCCCCACTCCCCACCTCCCTCCGGCCACCTCCACCGCGACTCCCTCCCACCTCCCATCCGCCTCCCTCCCGCCTCCCTCCGGCCTCTCTCCCGCCTCCCCCGGACTCCCTCCCCCTCCGCCTCCCCCCACCTCCTCCGCCTCTCCTCCCGCCGCCCGCCGCAGCCCTCCGGCCCCGCTCCCGCCTCCCACGGCCTCCGGGCCTCCCTCCAGACTCCCGCCCGCCTCCCTCGGACCTCCCTCGGCCTCCTCCCGCCTCCCTCCGCCTCCCCCCGCCTCCCTCCCCCCGCCCTCCCTCCGCCTCCCCCCGCCCTCCCCCCGCCGCCCGCCCGCCGCCCTCCCGGCCTCCCTCCGCCTCCCGCCCGCTCCCTCCCCTCCCGCCGCCCTCCCCCCCCCCCTCACTCGGACTCCCCTGCCTCCATCCGGCTCCCTCCGCATCCCCTACTGTCCCTCCCTCCCCCTCCCTCCAGCCTCCCGGGCCTCCTCCCGCCTCCCGCCTCCCCCCCCCCTCCCCGGCTCCCTCACGGCCTCCCTCCCGCCTACCTCCGCCTCCCTCCTCCTCCCTCCGGCCCCTCCCCCAGCCTCTCTCCTCCCGCCTCCCGCCGGCCTCCCTCCGGCTCCCCCCGGCCTCTCATTCGCCTCCCGACGGCCTCCCCGGCTCCTCAGCCTCCCTCCCGCCTCCTCCGCCCTCCCGCCGGCCCTACCTCCCCCCCTCCCCCCGGCCATCCGGACACCCAGCCTCCCCCCACCTCCCTCCAGCCTGCCCTCCCGCCTCCCTCCCCCATCCCTCCGGCCCTCCTCCGCCATCCCCCCTTCTCCTGCCTCCCTCCGGCTCCTTGCCTCCCTACCCGGCCCCTCCTGGTGCCCTGCCATACCCTTCCGGCCTCCCGGGCCTTCACCTCCACTCCAGCCTCCCTCCGCCCTCCTCCGGCTCCACTTCGGCCTCCATCCCGCCTCCCGCCTCCCTCCGGCCTCCCGGGCTTCCCTCCGGCCTCCCTCCGGCCTCCCTCCGGCCTCCCTCCGGCCTCCCTCCGGCCTCCCTCCCGCCTCCCTCCGGCCTCCCTCCGGCCTCCCGGGCCTCCCTCCGGCCTCCCTCCCGCCTCCCTCCGGCCTCCCTCCGGCCGGGACTTGGTGTCTGAGTCCAGCTGCGGGCTCGTCTTCCCTCTGCGCGGAGACAGACAGTGCACACAGCGATGGCCATGCCACAGGCCTGCCTGCTGGGCGCGGGGCTCCGAGCGGGGCTGCAGGACCAGCTAGCCTGCTGGGCGCGGGCCTGTGAGCTGGGCAAGGGGGTCAGCTGTTGTGCTCAGTGCCTCCTCGTTAAGAGGAGTCTGATGAACTGATCTAAAGGTTTGTGTGAGACACAGATTGCAATGATTCAAATCGGTCACTTTAGTAAAGTGCAGTGCTCCCTGGTAACCACTCGTTAAAGGTTAGATGTCTTTCATCGTTACACCACCATCACCACCACCATCACCACCATCACCATCACCACCACCATCACCATCACCACCACCATCACCATCACCACCACCACCACCATCACCACCACCACCACCACCACCACCACCATCATCACCACCATCACCACCATCATCAGCACCATCACCACCATCACCATCACCACCACCACCATCACCATCACCACCACCACCACCACCAACACCACCACCATCACCACCATCACCACCACCACCACCATCACCATCACCACCATCAACACACCACCATCACCACCATCATCAGCACCAGTCACCATCACCAACCACCACCACCACCATCACCATCACCACCACCACCACCACCACCACCACCATCACCATCACCACCACCACCACCATCACCACCACCACCACCACCACCACCACCACCACCACCACCACCACCACCACCACCACCACCACCACCACCACCACCATCACCACCACCACCAACACCATCACCATCACCACCATCACCACCACCACCACCATCACCATCACCACCATCATCACCACCATCACCACCATCATCAGCACCATCACCATCACCACCACCACCACCACCATCACCATCACCACCACCATCACCACCACCACCACCACCATCACCATCACCACCACCATCACCACCACCACCATCACCACCACCACCACCACCATCACCACCATCACCACCACCACCACCATCACCATCACCATCACCATCACCATCACCACCACCATCACCATCACCATCACCACCATCACCATCACCACCACCATCACCATCACCATCACCACCATCACCATCACCACCACCATCATCAACACCATCATCAGCACCACCACCACCATCACCACCACCACCACCACCACCATCACTACCACCACCATCACCATCACCACCACCATCACCACCATCACCATCACCACCATCACCACCACCACCACCACCATCACCACCACCACCATCACCATCACCACCACCACCACCACCATCACCACCACCACCATCACCATCACCACCACCACCATCGCCATCACCACCAGCACAAGCATCACTTTCACAGCCTCCACATCTACCCCAGCACCACCACCTTCATGACCACCAGCACCTTCCTCATGCCCACTTCCACCACCATCTCCACCACCATCACCACCACCACCACCATCACCACCATCACCACCACCACCACCACCATCACCACCACCATCACCACCACCACCACCACCACCACCACCACCACCATCACCATCACCACCACCACCATCACCATCACCACCATCACCACCACCACCACCACCACCACCACCACCACCATCACCATCACCACCACCACCATCGCCATCACCACCAGCACAAGCATCACTTTCACAGCCTCCACATCTACCCCAGCACCACCACCTTCATGACCACCAGCACCTTCCTCATGCCCACCACCACCACCATCTCCACCCACCATGGCAATGGTGGCCCTTCTCCCACCGGTTACCAGGCGCTTCCCAGGGGGCGTTTAACGGCAGGCTGCCGGGAGGAAACCAGGGCAGCCGAGGCACTGACAAAAACAGGAAAGCAGCCAGGGTGAGCCAGAAGGACCCCAGGCCTGCCGCCCGCCGCCCGGACCGCCCCCCGATAGCATGGCCCCGGGTGCTGAGAGTGTGAAACAGGCAGAGCAGGAGGCTGGGTGCTGTCTTAGGGTGTCTAACCCCTCTTTAACCTGGAGCCCTGCCCTTAGCAGGTCTCCCGCCTTGTTCCCAGACTTCACCCTCTTTGCCACTTCCGTCTACAGCGGTCGGCAAACTCATTAGTCAGCAGAGCCAAGTATCAACAGGACAATGATGGACATTTCTTTGGAGAGCCACATGTTTGTTTTAAACTTAGACTTCTTCTAACGCCACTTCTTCAACACAGACTCGCCCGGGCCGTGGCATTCTGTGGAAGAGCCACACTCCAGGGGCCAAAGAGCCGCCTGTGGCTCGCGAGCCGCAGTGTGTCGACCACGGCTCTAGAAGTTGGTGTCCTGACCAGACCCTTTCTTCTCAGGCTCTCAGCGCCCTCTTGTGTCCAAGATGCCTCCCGCCCACAGCGCCCCTACTGCGTGCCAGGCTGCTCCTGTGCCCTCGCGATGCCCGCACCCGGCGGGGGCCCGGCTCAGGGCCTCCTGCCCCCTCCGCCAGCCAGGCGAGGGCGGCTGGCACTGGCTCCCAGTGGGAGGGAGGGAGTCCATCCGGGTCTGCCGGAGCTGGGAACGCGATGCCGGTCGCTTTAGTTCTCACGTCATAACCATCCGGTCTCCGCAGTGTGGCCTCGGGCCTGCTCGGGGCTCCCCCGGCTCCTCTCTGCCTCCTGCTGCCTCCCCCGGCCGCCTTTAAAATTTATTTATTTATTTATATATTTTTTGTTGATTCTCACCTGAGGATATTTTTTCCATTGATTTTTTAGGGAGAGTGGAAGAGAGTGGGAGAGAGAGAAACACCAATGAGGGAGAGACACATTGACTGGTTGCCTTCTGCACACAGACATCTGTGCCCTCGACTGGGGTTGAACCCGAGACCCTTCAGTTTGCCGGCTGAAGCTCTAACCATTGAGCCACCGGCCAGGGCCCCTGCCGCCCTTCACCTGCTCCAGCTGGAACCCACCGGTGTTCTCGGCCATAATGCTTCCTTTTGTCTCCACCGAGCAGCCCATCTCAGTCTCTCTGCCAGGACCCCTCCTCTGGGGCCCTCAGTTCCTATCACCTCCCTTCCACCCCGACACTCAGGGGGCCTCTGCCAGCAGCCGAGTCTGAGCCATCTTTGGGGCTCCCTCAGTTCATGGTCTGGCTGGACAAGTGCTGATGGGCATGGCAGGGGAGGGAGGGGGTGCTGATGTACATGGCAGGGGAGGGAGGGGGTGCTGATGGGCATGGCAGGGGAGGGAGGGGGTGCTGATGGGCATGGCAGGGGAGGGAGGGGGCTGATGGGCATGGCAGGGGAGGGAGGGGGTGCTGATGGACATGGCAGGGGAGGGAGGGGGTGCTGATGGGCATGGCAGAGGAGGGAGGGGGGTGTTGATGGACATGGCAGGGGAGGGAGGGGGTGCTGATGGGCATGGCAGGGGAGGGAGAGGGCTGATGGGCATGGCAGGGGAGGGAGGGGACTGATGGGCATGGCAGGGGAGGGAGAGGGTGCTGATGGGCATGGCAGGGGGGGGAGGGGGTGCTGATGGGCATGGCAGAGGAGGGAGGGGGTGCTGATGGACATGGCAGGGGAGGGAGGGGTGCTGATGGGCATGGCAGGGGAGGGAGAGGGCTGATGGGCATGGCAGGGGAGGGAGGGGACTGATGGGCATGGCAGGGGAGGGAGAGGGTGCTGATGGGCATGGCAGGGGAGGGAGGGGGTGCTGATGGGCATGGCAGAGGAGGGAGGGGGTGCTGATGGACATGGCAGGGGAGGGAAGGGGCTGATGGGCATGGCAGGGGAGGGAGGGGACTGATGGGCATGGCAGGGGAGGGAGGGGGCTGATGGGCATGGCAGGGAGGGAGGGGGTGCTGATGGGCATGGCAGGGGAGGGAGGGGGTGCTGATGGGCATGGCAGGGGAGGGAGGGGGCTGATGGGCATGGCAGGGGACGGAGGGGACTGATGGGCATGGCAGGGGAGTGAGAGGGTGCTGATGGGCATGGCAGGGGAGGGAGGGGGCTGATGGGCATGGCAGGGGAGGGAGGGGGCTGATGGGCATGGCAGGGGAGGGAGGGGGCTGATGGGCATGGCAGGGGAGGGAGGGGGTGCTGATGGGCATGGCAGGGGAGGGAGGGGGTGCTGATGGGCATGGCAGGGGAGGGAAGGGGCTGATGGGCATGGCAGGGGAGGGGGTGCCCAGAGCATAACAGCCTCGCCTCAGGACTCAGCCCACCGTGCCCTCGAACCCTGAGCGCCCAGTACTGACCCTGCAGGCGCCTGGGACGGGAAGGGTGCTCTCCCCGGGGGACCCAGAGGCTCCGTTTCCCAGCCCCTCCCTCCCCCTGTCACTCAGCCTGGCTCTGGCTCCCGGGAGGCCCTCAGTCCTGGAGGAGTAAGTGAGGGCGGGTGATGGGCCCTTTGCATGAGGCATCTGTGCAGCAGACCCCGCCTGCTGGGCCCCCGGTGCCCGGTGCCCAGGCCCAGGCGAGGGGCCCCGTCCGCAGTGTGGGCGACGGGGCTCTCCCCGCAGAAGGACACGGCTTCCTGTACGAGACCTTCGGGATCCGGCCACGGGTCTCCTGGCAGGTGGATGCGTTCGGCGCCTCTGCCACCACGCCCACCCTGTTCGCCCTGGCGGGGTTCAATGCCCACGTCATCTCCCGGATCGACTACGAGGTCAAGAATGCCATGGCAGACACTAAGGTGAGTGCTCCCCCCTGCACCCCCTCGCTGCCCTGGCCCTGCCCTTCCTTGTGGTTCCTGTGCTCTCGGAGGGCGGCACCCCTGCAGGGCAGGCCGCGCCCCAGCGGGGAGCAGCGGGGCTGAGGTCAGCAGAGCCTGGGCACCGCGGCAGGAGGCAGGCTGAGAGGGGGAGCCCAGGGGTCAAGAGAAGGGCGCTCATGAGCCCCAAGCCTCCTGCAGTGGTCCTGTGCCTGAGCCTGCGTCTCCCAGGCCCGAAACCAAGCCGCTGGGGAGCCGGGCCCTGTGGGAGCCCCGAGCTGATGCCCCGGGACCAGGATCTCCCCCCCTTGTTGCCCTGAGTGCTGCCTGGCCCTGAGCGGTGCCACACGGGCTGCCCGCAGGGAGCCGCGCCGAGCCTGGGCCTGGCAGGGGCCCCAGGGGGAGGCGGGCGACCGGGCAGGCGGCTGCTCCGAGGGCAAATCCACAGCTGAAGTGGCTTCGGGGGCGAGATGGGACCCCAGAGGAGGCAGCGAGGGGGTCTGTCCCGGGCCGGCGCCCTCAGCCTGGCACCCCCCTCCCCCGTCGGCAGGAGATGCAGTTCGTGTGGCGCGGGTCCCGGTCGCTGGCGGAGCAGCAGGAGATCTTCACGCACGTCCTGGACTATAGCTACTGCATGTGAGCACCCTGCGGCCCCCGCTGTCCCCGTGCCCTCGGAGACCGCACCCCAGGGAGACGCCCGGGGCACCCCTGTCCGAGCCCCACAGCCCGCTGTCCCCGTGCCCTCCCGGAGACCGCACCCCAGGGAGACGCCCCGGGCACCCCTGTCCGAGCCCCGCAGCCCGCTGTCCCCGTGCCCTCGGAGACCGCACCCCAGGGAGACGCCCGGGGCACCCCTGTCCGAGCCCCGCAGCCCGCTGTCCCTGTGCCCTCGGAGACCGCACCCCAGGGAGACGCCCCGGGCACCCCTGTCCGAGCCCCGCAGCCCGCTGTCCCCGTGCCCTCCCGGAGACCGCACCCCAGGGAGACGCACCGGGCACCCCTCCACTGTCCCCGTGCCCTCCGAAGACTGCACCCCCAGGGAGACGCACCGGGCACCCCTCCACTGTCCCCGTGCCCTCCGAAGACTGCACCCCAGGGAGACACACCGGGCGCCCCTGTCCGAGGCCCTCGGCTGTCCCCGTGCCCTCCGGCAACCGCACCCCAGGGAGACGCACTGGGCGCCCCTGTCCGAGCCCCTCGGCTGTCCCCGTGCCCTCGGAGACCGCATCCCAGGGAGATGCACCGGGCGACCCTCTGCTGTCCCCGTGCCCTCCGGAGACCGCACCCCAGGGAGACGCACCGGGCGCCCCTCGGCTGTCCCCGTGCCCTCCGGAGACCGCACCCCAGGGAGACGCACCGGGCGCCCCTGTCCGAGCCCGCAGCCCGGCTGGCGGACGGTCGGAGTGGGCTGGGTTCAGGCGCCAGCTCCCGGGCCGGGCGTGCTGGGTACCGCCGGCCGCTTCGTGAGAAGGAGCGGCAGCAGGCGTGCTGGGGGGCCGCTCACTGCCGCTCTGTGCCAGGCACCGTTTCTCGAGGTTTACACCACTGTCATCATTGAACCCTCATAACGGCCTTCAGCACGTGTCCCCCCGTGCCCCTGGGCTGGCCGGTCCCCCGTGCCCCTGGGCTGGCCGGTCCCCCGTGCCCCTGGGCTGGCCGGTCCCCCGTGCCCCTGGGCTGGCCGGTCCCCCGAGACCCTGGGCTGGCCGGTCCCCCGTGCCCCTGGGCTGCCCGGTGAGGCTCGCTGGCAGGGTCAGAGCCGTGCCCCGTGCCACGCGGGAGCGGGCGGAGGGAAGGGCCGCGGCGTCTGCCTGGTGGAGCCCCGGGAGGCTCTGCTCACCAGGACGGCTCGGCGTCCGTCTTATTTGCTAAAACACTGTGCTCAATCTCGTCACCGGGGGCACTGAGGCCGGAGCTGGAGGTGGCTGGTCCCCCGGGCCCAGCCCGGCCCCAGCACTGTCCGTGGCCCGGCACCTCCTCTGCAGGCTCGGGGTGCACCGGGAGCAGTGGTCTGAGGGGTCCCACGGGGGTGGGCTCCCCGGGGAGCGAATGGCGCGGGCCCAGGGAGTGGCGTGCCTGCCCCGCAGCTGGGGAGCTGGGGCCTGGCTGGAGCCCCCTCTGTCTGCATAGCCCCTGCCTGCCCCCTGTCCCCCCGCCTGTCCCTGTCCCTGGTGGGAGACGGGTCATCGAGGAGGGTCTGCAGGCCCTGAGCTGCCCCATGGATGGCCTGAGCCCGCCAGCCCCCGGGACCCAGGCTGCTCTCCTCTTGGGTGGGCCCCCCTAACCTTTCTCTCTGCCTCAGGGAGGGCTATTCCTGGGAAGGCGTGGCCCCGTTCCCAGCACGCCTCCAGAGTGTGGCGTTCGTGAGCCCCAGCGACCCCCCCGTCACCATGCGCAACATCAAGTCGTACCTGGAGAGCTTTGTGTCGAGCGTGCAGAAGCGGGCCAGCCTGTACCGGACCCCGCATGTCCTCTGGCCCTGGGTAAGCAGCGTCCGGGCCGGGCCCCGGCTCCGCTCGAACCCGGGCGGGCCTGCCATCCTGCACACCCCGGGCCTCCCCCACCGGCTCCTCCCACACCCCGAGCTCACCCAGCCTCTCCCCCGAAGGACAGCCCTGGTCCCCGCCCCGCAGGCTCCCACCGGCTCTCCCCGACCTTCTCACGTGTGACTGCCTCTCTTTCAACGCCGCTTTTATTGCTTTGCTCCTTTTGTTTGTGATTCCTTTTTTCTGTAGGTGCAGAAATTAATATTTTTTTAAAACGGTAAAACTCCATACATGATATCAACAGGCCACTTGTATGACACATTTGATCTAAAATAAAATAAAATATACATATATTTTAGATCAGAATTTTTGCACTGGCGGGGGTGTCCCTCAGCCTGGCCAGTGCCCTCTCACAGTCTGGAGCCGTGGGGGCTGTCAGACTGACGGCTTAGGCCTGCTCCCCATGGACCTAAGCTGGCAGTTGGACATCCTTAGCATTGCTGCAGAGGCGGGAGAAGCTCCTGCCACCCCTGCTGTGCTTGCCAGGTGAGCCTGGCTCAGGGCTTCTGGCTGAGCAGTGTTCCCCGGTGGGAGCACACTGACCACCAGGGGGCAGCTTCTGCATTGAGTGTCTGCCCCCTGGTGGTCAGTGTGCATCATAGCGACAAGTCGTTCTACCTTTTGGTTGGTTTGCATATTAGCCTTTTATTATATAGGATAACTTTGGATGAGGCTTGAGGCATAACTTAAAATATACGTAGGCAATAAAGAAACAAGATAATGAAATGCTTGCTTCCTCAGGAGTTCACAATTGAATGGGATGCTTGCAAAGGGGCACAGAAACACCTGCCTAAAATAGCTGGTGTCCAGGCCACAAAACCCCAACAGTATCATTCAATGACCTCCCTTTGTTCTTAGTTTTTATTTATTTGAGAGAGGAAGAGAGAGAGAGACATCAGTGATGCGAGAGAATCATGGATCGGCTGCCTCCTGTACACCCCCGCTGGGGATCGAGCTTGGAATCTGGGCACGTGCTCTGACTGGGAATCAAATGATGTGTGTGTGTGTGTGTGTGTGTGTGTGTGTGTGTGTGTATCCATTCATCTATGGATGGACACTTTAGGTTGCTTTCATGTTTTGGCTATCCTATATAATAAAGAGGTAATATGCAAATTGACCAGCATGCCCTTGCACCAGATGGCCACCCCCATGTGGCCAAAGATGGCAGCCATAAGATGGCTGGCAGTGCAGAGCAGTTGGGGGAGACTGGGCAGGTAGGGAATGGCAGTTAGGGGTGACCAGGCCAGCAGGTGAGTGCTGTTGGGGGTTACCAAACCAGCAGGGAAGGGCGGTTGTGGGCAATCAGGCTGGCAGGGGAGCGGTTAGGTTTTGATCAGGCTGCAGAAGAGTGGTTAGGAGTGATTAGGCTGGCAGGCAGGTGAGTGGTTGGGAGCCAGCAGTCCCAGATTGTGAAAGGGAAGTCCAACTGCCGGTTTTGGAATTGGGCCTAAATTGGCAGTCAGACATTGCCTGACGGGTTTTAGATTGGAGAGGGTGCAGGCTGGGCTGAAGGAAGGCCCCCCTCCCCCCCAGAGCACAGATTTCATGCTCTGGGCCTCTAGTTGTAAATAATGCTGCTATGAATATGGGTGCATATAACTGTTAGAATTAATGTTTTGTTTTCTTTGACTAAATACTCAGAAGTAGACTTGCTGGATCAGATGGTAATTCCATTTAAAATTTTTTTTAGAAACCTCCATACTGTTTTCCATGGTGGTTGCACCAATTTGCAGTCCCACCAATAGTGCACAGGGTTCCATTTTCTCCTCCTCCTCACCAACACTTCTTTCTTGTCTTTTTTGATGGTAACCATTGTAGCAGGTGTGAGGTGAGGTCTTACTGTGGATTTTGATTTGTTTATTATTGTTATTTTTAATCCTCACCCGAGGATATTTTCCCATTGATTTTTAGAGAGAGCGGAAGAGAGAGGGAAAGACAGAGAGAAACATCGATGTGAGAGAAGCACATCGATTGGTTGCTTCCTGCACAAGCCTTGGCCAGGGAGGAACCCTGCAACTGAGGTACATGGCCTTGACCGGAATCGAACCCGGGACCCTTCAGGTTGCAGGCCAGTGCTCTATCCACTGAGCCACACTCGCCAGGGCAATGCGGTTTTTGACCTGCATTTCACTGATGATAGGGGTGCTGAGCCCCTTTTCACTGGGCCTGTCGGCCATCTGTACGTCCTCTTCGGAACGATATCTAATGAAGTCCTTCCTCCATTGTAGAATTGGGTTGTTTTCCCACCTGGTCCCATGGTGTGGTGATTTTAAGGTATCAACTTCAGTTCGCTCACATTTTGTTAAGAATTTTTGCATCTATGTTCATCGGGGGTGGTCACCTGCACTTTTTCTTTCTTTCTTTCTTTCTTTCTTTCTTTCTTCTTTCTTCTTTCTTTTCTTTCTTTCTGTTCTTCCTTCCTTCCTTCATTCCATTCCTTCCTTCATTCCTTCCTTCCTTCCTTTTCCTTCCTTCCTTCTTTCTTTCTCTCTCTCTCTCTCTCTCTCTCTTCTCTCTCTCTCTCTCTCTCTCTCTCTCTCTCTCTCTCTCTTATACTTTTCTTTACGTGTGGTGTCCCGGTCTCATTGTGGTGTCAGGATAATGCCGGCCTCGGAAACACGTGTGGAGTTCTCTCCCCTTCTGCTTTTTGGGGGAGATTTTAGAAGGATTGGTATCGATTCTTCTTTACTAGCGTTAACCGATGACATCATCTGGCCCTGGACTTCTGTCTGTCAGAGCTTTTGGTTACTGATTCAGTCTCCTTACTAGTAAGATGTCTGTTTACATTTTCTGCTTTTCCAGAGTCAGTCTTGGCAGGTACTGTTTCTAACAATTTTGACTTTGCTGTTTTGAAGGTGAAGTTAAGGTCAGTGAATGTGAGTCGTGGCTAGTTCCTTGTTCCTCACAAATCTCACAGCACCGGGATGGATGACGTGATGAGCAGTAATAATGAATGGCTTTAGAAATGCCAGGGAGTGAAGTATGTCAGAGGAAGACGAAGGACTGTATGATTCCACTTATAGTATATGTGAAACTTAAAAACACAAAACACGCAGATCCAACTTGTGGTTGTCAGAGGTGTGGGTGGGGTGGGGGATTAGTCAAAGGAACACACTTTTTTTTTTTTTTTTTTTTTTAAATATTTTTATTGATTTCAGAGAGGAAGGGAGAGAATGAGAGAGGTAGAAACATCAATGATGAGCCGAAACCGGTTTGGCTCAGCGGATAGAGCATTGGCCTGCGGACTGAAAGGTCCCAGGTTCAATTCCGGTCAAGGGCATGTACCTTGGTTGCAGGCACATCCCCTGTAGGGAGTGTGCAAGAGGCAGCTGATCAATGTTTCTCTCTCACTGATGTTTCTAACTCTCTATCCCTCTCTCTTTCTCTCTGTAAAAAACCAATAAAATATATTAAAAAAAAGAAAAGAAACATCAATGATGAGAATCATCTATCAGCTGCCTCCTGCACACCCCCCACTGAGGACTGAGCCTGCAACCTAGGCATATGTCCTTGACTGGAATCAAACCTTGACCCTTCAGTCCACAGCTGATGCCCTGTCCATGAGCCGAACTGGCTAGAGCAGGAACAAACTTCTTATAAGATGAAAGATAAACAAATATGGGGATGTACAACATGATGCAGAGAAAGAAAGAAAAAGAGAGGACACTCTGCATGCATCTAAGTACAACCCATGGATACAAAACTGGGGAGGGAGGGCATGTGTGGGACAGGGGGCAATGGTAAGATATGTACACAGATAATAATTTAATTAAAAAAAAAAAATAAGGGAGCCGAAACCGGTTTGGCTCAGTGGTAAAGCGTCGGTCTGCGGACTGAAAGGTCCCAGGTTCGATTCTGGTCAAGGGCATGGACCTTGGTTGCGGGCACATCCCCGGTAGGGGGTGTGCAAGAGGCAGCTGGTCGATGTTTCTCTCTCATCGACGTTTCTAGCTATCTCTCTCCCTTCCTCTCTGTAAAAAATCAATAAAATATATTTAAAAAAATAAGGGAAAAATAAATAAGTAAAAAAATAAATTGAAGGTTCCAGGTTCGATTCTGGTCAAGGGCATGTTCCTTGGTTGCGGGCACATCCCCGGTAGAGGGTGTGCAAGAGGCAGCTGATTGATGATTCTCTTGATGTTTCTAGTTCTCTATCTCTCTCTCTTCCTCTCTGTAAAAAATCAATAAAATATATATATATATATTAAAAAAAATAAATTGACCACCACTCAAAAAAAAAAAAATAAAATAAAATAAAAGAGGACACGCCCAGGAATTTAGCTGGGGAGCTGGTGTGGGGACGGGGGCTGCCCGTGGGGGTGGCAGGTGTCCCGGGAGGGCCCCGGGGCCGTGCTGCGGGGCTGAGCTCTGCCCTCAGGATGGACATGGCCCGTGTCCTGCCGCAGGGCTGTGACCGGTCGTTCTTCAAAGCGGGCATACAGTTCGCCAACATGGACCTCCTGCTGAGCTTCGTCAACACGCACTCCGCCCAGACGGGCATCACGGCGGAGTACGCCACCCTGAGCACCTACCTCCGCGCCGTGCACGCCTACAACGCCACCTGGCACGTCCGCGGCCACCAGGACTTCCTGCCCTACACCTCAGGTACCCGCCTCGGTGCCCGCCTCCGTGCCAGGGACCATCGGCGTCTGCTCTTCCAGGCGGGGAGCCTGGCCCTGGCCCCGCCCCCAGCCCCTCGGCCATCCTGGCTGCCACACCTCAGCCCCGTCCCCAGGCGGCCCGCACACAGTAGGTCCTGTCTCCGCACTGTGCACTGGGGCTTCCCTCCTGTGAGCCAAGGGCCCCTCCTGCTTCTTCCTGCCCAAGTTCCACTCATCCCTGAGGACGGCCCTCCCCGGACCTGTCCTGACCTGAGGCCGGACCTACTGTGTGCTGCATTTCCCTCTGTCACCCCCGGTCCTCCTCGGAAGCCCCTGCTCCTCGCTGCGTCAGGAGGCCGTGGGCATGGGCCCCCAGGGCGCTGCCAGGCGGGGAGGCTGCCGGCCGGAGCCCGCTCGGTGCCTGGCGAGGCCGGGACAGTGATTGCGCTCGGTCTATCGCGTGGTCACGATGAAGCGAAATAAGAAAAGCTCGGGTCCAGTGCAGAGCCAGGGCCCGCAGATGCAGCGAGGAAAAGCCGACGCCATCCCTGGTCCCGCTGTGCCAGGCGCGGCCCTGGGTGCGAGCAGAGCAGGCCCTGCCCGGGAGGCTGCGTCGGGGCCTGCAGTGTGTGCCCGTCAGCCCCAGCTCAGAGCCCCTGGCAGGCCCAGCCCCCCCACTGTCCCCCGGGAGTTAGAGGCAGCGCAGCGGGCGGGCGTGGGGAGCTGGCTGCAGGACACGCCCTGCTGCCCCTGCCCCGGGGCGGCCGGGACTGGTGTGGGCCAACCTGGACCCCTGACAGAGCCCCGCTGTGGAGGCCCTCAACCCCCGCCCCCACCTTGGTCAGGCCTCATCCTCTGACTGTGAGGCCAGCATCTCCTGGCCTCTCAGCTCCTTCCATCCTCCTCCCACCCAACCACCCTCCTCCCCCCCCAACCCCTCCTCTCACTAACCCCCTCCTACCCACCCTCCCTCCCTCCCTCCCAGGGCCACCAGAGGGACCTGCTGAGTGCAGGCCCGCCCCGGCCCCCATTGTCCCAGAGTCCCATTCAGAGGCTGCGGTGCTCGGCCTCTCAGCGGGTCCTCCCCTCTCTCCTCGCCCCCCTCCTCTCCCCCAGGCCCGCAGGCCCCTGGTTCAAGGCTGAGCCAGGCCTTCGGACCCTCCCTGGGCTTTCCTGTCCCCCCGCCCACCCAGGCACCCTCCTCCCGCCCGGCCTCAGGCCTCGAGGGCTCCGGGGGGTCGCTGGCCGGGCGGGGGAGCCCCAGGCCTTCCTGGGAGACGGGCCGGGCTCACCGCCTGCCGCCGTCCCCAGAGGAGTCGCAGGTGTGGACGGGCTTCTACGCCTCCCGCAGCCGGCTCAAGGGGCTGGCGCGGCGGGCCAGCGCGCTGCTGCACGCGGGCGAGTCCATGTTCACGCGCTGCATGTGGCCGCGCCCCCCGCGCCGCCTGGACCCCGGCTGGGCCCTGAGGCAGCTCCGGAAGCTCCGCTGGGCCGTCTCCGAGGTAAGGCGCCTCCCTCCAGCCTCGCTGCCACGGCGAGGGGGCCGGCGGCCAGGCGGGACGGGCCGCGGCGAGGGGCACCCTGCACCCTGGCGGCCAGGCGGGACGGGCCGCGGCGAGGGCCACCCTGGCGGCCAGGAGGGACGGGCCGCGGCGAGGGGCACCCTGCACCCTGGCGGCCAGGCGGCCAGGCGGGACGGGCCGCGGCGAGGGGCACCCTGCACCCTGGCGGCCAGGAGGGACGGGCCGCGGCGAGGGGCACCCTGCACCCTGGCGGCCAGGCGGGACGGGCCGCGGCGAGGGGCACCCTGCACCCTGGCGGCCAGGCGGCCGGGCGGGACGGGCCGCGGCGAGGGGCACCCTGCACCCTGGCGGCCAGGCGGCCAGGCGGGACGGGCCGCGGCGAGGGGCACCCTGCACCCTGGCGGCCAGGCGGGACGGGCCGCGGCGAGGGGTGCTGGTGCCAGCCCCATGCTGCCGAGGCCTCGGGCAGGGGACGACCCTGTGCCATGAGAACACATGCCCACCCGTGGGTGGGGGCGACTGATGCCACAATGTGCAGGACCCGCTTGGCCCAGCACAGGGCACAGGGCACCGTTTGCATCTCACCCTGCCACAGCGCAGGGACTGACTGAGCCCGGCGTATCCGGGAGCCCAGCGTGTCCGGGGTGCCCAGCGTGTCCAGCGTGTCTGGGGCGTCCAGCGTGTCTGGGGTGTCCCGGGTACCCAGTGTGTCCGGGGGCTCCCAGCATGTCCCGGGGGCGCCCAGCGTGTCCGGGGGGCGCCCAGCGTGTCCGGGGCGCCCGGTGTGTGTGTGTGGGGGGGTGCCCGGTGTGTCTGGGGGCGCCCAATGGGAGACACAGTCCCTCCCCAAAGCCAGCTGCTCCCCTCCCCGTGCCCCGGGGCCCTTCTGTGCAGTGTGAGGGCCCCTCCACCTGCCGGGGAGAGGAGGGTGGCCGGCGGAGCGGGCAGGGCCCAGCAGGCCCTGGCGGCAGGGGGCCCACGGCTCTCTGGGGCCGCAGGTGCAGCACCACGACGGCATCACGGGGACGCAGGCCGTGCAGGTGCGGGACATGTCCATGGAGCACCTGAGCGCGGGGGTGCGGGCCGTGCTCCGGCTGGTGGCCGCCATCGTCCTGGACCGGCCCCCGGACTCCCCAGGTGCGAGGCCGCGGGGTGGGTGCGGGCTGGGGGCGGGCGCTCCGTCCTTCCTGAGGAGAGAGCCTGGGGGGGGGCGGGGGGCTGCACCCCTGACCCTCAGACGCAGCAGCCACACCCTGACCTCGCCTGACCTCCGGCAGGGGCGTCACCGCTCCCGCCTCCGTGTCCTCTCCCGGCACAGGGCGGCGAGCACCCTTCCCCGCCAGCTCACGTCCCCCCACCCTGCATGCGAGGGCGGCTCCCGCCCTGCTCCTCCAGCTGAGGACACCGGAGGGGGAGGGGGGAGGGGTGGTGGTGGTGGTGCTGCTGCGGACTCCCCAGGCCACCCTAGAGGACCCCGGGAGCCTGACGCTGGGCCCCTCCCGGCCGGGCGCCGCGTGGGCACAGGCATCCGCGCCGCCCTGCACCAGGGCCTTTGGCCGCGAGGGCGCCACGAGTTTGCAGGGACGATCACACCGCGGGACCCACAGCCCCTCAGCCCGCACCCACAGCCCCCTCCACCCGCACCCACAGCCCCCTCAGCCCGCACCCACAGCCCCCTCCACCCGCACCCACAGCCCCCTCCGCCCGCACCCACAGCCCCCTCCGCCCGCACCCACAGCCCCCTCCGCCCGCACCCACAGCCCCCTCCGCCCGCACCCACAGCCCCCTCAGCCCGCACACCGCCCGGGCCCTCTCCCCTCCGTCCCTGCTCACCTGGCCTGCTCCCCTTCCCCCTCCCCCGTGTCTATGAGGGACCCCGTCCCACCTTCGGACCCTGGGGGCCCGGGGACGGGAGCAGCACACAGAGCGCTGCCTACAGCCTGGGCTGGAGGGAGAGACGCACAGCCATGGAGAGCTAGGACAGGGCGGCCCTCCCACGGCTGGCAGGGCGGTCACTCCCTCCCACGGCTGGCAGGGCGGTCACTCCCTCCCACGGCTGGCAAGGCGGTCACTCCCTCCCACGGCTGGCAGGGCGGTCACTCCCTCCCACGGCTGGCAGGGCGGTCACTCCCTCCCACGGCTGGCAGGGCGGTCACTCCCTCCCACGGCTGGCAGGGCGGTCACTCCCTCCCACGGCTGGCAGGGCGGCCCCTCCCTCCCACGGCTGGCAGGACGGTCACTCCCTCCCACGGCTGGCAGGGCGGTCACTCCCTCCCACGGCTGGCAGGGCGGTCACTCCCACAGGCTGGCAGGGCGGTCACTCCCTCCCACGGCTGGCAGGGCGGTCACTCCCACGGCTGGCAGGGTGGTCACTCCCTCCCATGGCTGGCAGGGCGGTCACTCCCTCCCACGGCTGGCAGGGCGGTCACTCCCTCCCACGGCTGGCAGGGCGGTCACTCCCTCCCACGGCTGGCAGGGCGGTCACTCCCTCCCACGGCTGGCAGGGCGGTCACTCCCACGGGCTGGCATGGGCAGTGGTGCAGCGAGGGGTCAGTGGAGACGCCTGGGTGGGCACCACAGCCTGAGGGAGCCGCCGGGCAGGGCCAGGCGCTGGGCAGCGTGTGTGTGCCGGGGTCACGGGCAGGGTCTGAGCTGGCTGCACATGGGGCACAGGGCGGAACAGAGAGGGTCTCACACGCCTTGACGTCCAGGCTCCAGAGCATTCTCTGGCTGCTCCCCACACCGGGCACTCAGCCTCGGGGCTCGGCCTCCGGAGCCGGGCCCCTGGGGCCGCGCCTCTCTCTGGGTGGGCTGAGCGGTGGGTGAGCCAGGAGCACACAGAGTGCACGGCCTGGGGCGCCCCGCGGGAGGACCCCGTCCCTGGCCCTCTCCCAGCGAGCCCCGAGGGAGGACCCCGTCCCTGGCCCTCTCCCCGGGGAGCCCCAGGGAGGACCCCGTCCCTGGCCCTCTCCCCGGGCGCCCTGCAGGGAGGACCCCGTCCCTGGCCCTCTCCCCGGGGCGCCCCAGGGAGGACCCCGTCCCTGGCCCTCTCCCCGGGGAGCCCCGCGGGAGGACCCCGTCCCTGGCCCTCTCCCCGGGCGCCCTGCAGGGAGGACCCTGTCCCTGGCCCTCTCCCCGGGGAGCCCCGCAGGAGGACCCCGTCCCTGGCCCTCTCCCTGGGCGCCCTGCAGGGAGGACCCCGTCCCTGGCCCTCTCCCTGGGGCGCCCCAGGGAGGACCCCGTCCCTGGCCCTCTCCCCGGGCGCCCTGCAGGGAGGACCCCGTCCCTGGCCCTCTCCCCGGGGAGCCCCAGGGAGGACCCCGTCCCTGGCCCTCTCCCCGTCCCTGGCCCTCTCCCCGGGGCGCTCCGCGGGAGGACCCCGTCCCTGGCCCTCTCCCCGTCCCTGGCCCTCTCCCTGGGGAGCCCCGCGGGAGGACCCCGTCCCTGGCCCTCTCCCCGTCCCTGGCCCTCTCCCCGGGGCGCTCCGCGGGAGGACCCCGTCCCTGGCCCTCTCCCGGGGCGTCCGCGGGCGCTCTCGCCGGCCGCTGCTCCTGCGCCTTCGAGGGGCCCCCACGGGGCGCGTGAGGACAGCGAGGAAAGCCCGCTCCCCGTCGCAGGCTCCGAGCCCGAGGGACACCTGGCCGCGGTCTACAACCCCCTGGCCTGGCCGGTCACCGCTCTGATCACACTGACCGTGAGCTTTCCCCACGTCAATGTCACCGACGAGTCAGGCCGGCCGGCGGAGGCCCAGGTAGGGCCCGTTTCTGCGCGGACGCACTTGCTGCTGCCGCTGACCCCTTCCCGGGCCGGGCCCTCCGGGGACGCCCGTGGGGGGCGTGTCCACGGAGGGTCGGGGGGACCTACCCGGGGGGCTGGCACTGGGCTGGGGCATCTGACGTGGCCCTGGGTCCCGGGACAGTCCCTCCCCGGCGGGCCTCTGTGGCCTGCCTGCCTGGGGCTGCTCGCCCCGCCCTGAGGGTGCGTTTTCTAATGGAAACGTCCACTCTGCCAGGGAAAGGCCGTCCTGTCCCTCACAGGGTGGTTATGGAGGCGCTGATACCAGGGGCTGCCCCAGGGCCCCGCACCAGACACCCAGGGGCCCCCGCTGTGAGTGTGTGGTCCCTTCGCCTCCCCTCCCGGCCTGGCACTGGGCCTGGTGCCCCCGGCCCCCCTCCTGCCATACTGCGGGCCCTTCCCGGCAGGTGCCGCCATCAGCCAGTCAGCAAGCACGCCCCTGTGCCCGCGCTGGGCCTGGCTCTGGGCTGGGGGCTGGGGGCTGGGTCTCCGGACACGTCACAGTGGGGAGGGGAGCAGGTGCAGAGTGGCCAGGGGAGGTGTGGCCCGGCGCCCGGGAGCCAGGGCCGCAGCCCCTGCCCACACCGGAGGCGGAGGCGGGGAGCGCCCCTGAGCAGGAGGCGCTGGAGGAGGGCGTGGTCTGTGCAGACCCAGCGCGGACCCCTTCCCGCCAAGGGCAGCACCTCGCAGAGTACATATGTCCGCGCTGGTCTAGGCACTGGGGTGCCATCCCAGCTAACGTCCCTGCCCGCTGGGCCCGCTTCTGGCAGAGAGACAGGCAGTGAACCGAATGAGGGGTGACAGTGATGACGGCGACGGTGACAGATGCCCCGGCATCTCAGGAGAGGCGGGTGGGAGGCTGTGTGGGCCTCCCCAGGAGGCCTCCCACGTGCCCTAAGAGTGAGGGGCATGGCCGAGTGGGCCCCGTGCCTTCTCCGAGCCCCTCCCCAAACCAGAGGAGGGGGATGGGGAGGATCCCCCCTCCCCCGGGAAAGCATCCCTTCGTGGGAAATTGGAGGATGGAGGGAGAAGGCTGCCCCCTGGGTGCTGGTGCCAAGAGGGAGGGCGATGAGGCCAGGGCTGGAGGCTGCTGAGCAGGGAGGATGCAGGGAGGGGAACTCAGCTCAGTTTGATGATGGACGGACCCCCCTGCCTCCTGGGTAAGTACCCTGCACAGGAGGAGGGCAAGCTGAGGATTACTGCGGAGACTGGTCCTCCAACCCCGAACCTCTCTCGTCTTGTACCTTTGGCCCTGCAGGTCCAGAGATCGAAGAAGATCCCCGATAAATATGACGTGTATGTGCTGACCACAATCCAGGGCCTCAGCTACCGGTACTACAGCATCAGGCCCGCCGAGCAGGCCCCGGATGGCAAACAGGCATCAGGTGCCTCCATGACAGTCACCTCCAAGCTTGGCCTCAAGCCGAGAAGACCACGCACCAGGCCCAGGGGCCAGAACCTGGTGTCCGTGTCCAACGACTGCTACACTGTCTTCCTGGACCGGGACACCAACCTGATGCACAGCATCTGGGAGAGGTGAGGAGCAGCCATTGCTGGCTCTGAGGCGGAGGCGTTTTCCGAGGCCCGTCCGAGCCGTCATCCCCCCACAGGGGACTGTGCTTCCTCCCTGCCTGGTGGGGAGGCCTTTCAGTGTTTTGCCATCTCTATTTCTAGGGGTATGAGTTCTGGCCAGTGCAAAAAAGACTTTCTTAAACTTTTTTATTCCAGAGCTGTTGATCCTGAGGAAAAAGGGGTATTGAGGGACCTCCATCCGAGGGAATAAATATAATAATCATTTTACCCCCTTTTTAAAATTTAGTAAAACATAAAATCCATTCATCTATTCATTCACCCGCCAAACTACCCATCTACCCACCTACTCACCCATCTATTCACCCATTACACCTCCATTCTTCCTTATAACCCACCCATTTATCCACACACCTGTCCCATCCATCCATCCACTCACCAACCTATCCGTTTTCGCACTCAGCCATCTACATGTCCATCAAACTGTCTGCCAATCACCCCTCTGTTCGTCCGTCCATCCATACAGTTGCTCATTCAGGAGACTGGTCCTCAGCAGGTGGTGGAAGGGAGCCACAGAAATGTCCTGAGCATGCTCAGAGCTCCCTGGTCAGGTGGGAAAGGTGGAGTCAGCTGCTGGCTTTGGGTCCTTCTGTGCTCGGTCCTGCACACCATCCGGAATGCCCCTGCCAGGGCCAGCTCCAGCTCGCCACCCCTTCCTCTCAGCCCTGGATGCCAGCACCTTAGCCAGGACCCACCGCCCATCCTGCCCCTGTCTCTCCGTGCTCTCTCCCTGGGCTCTCCGAAGTCCCAGTGAGCTCCCGCAAAGCAGCATGGGAGGCGTTCCCAGAGAGGAGCTGCTGGAGCCGGGGCGGGGGTGCTCAGAGGAGCAGCCCGGCCTGAGGCCTCGAAGGAGAGAACCTGCTGGCACAGCTGAGGGGCACGGCGCCAGAGAAGGGAGTGCCGCGCCAGGCCTGCGGTGGATAAGGGCGGGATGGCTGTAATTCACACGCCATCCCGCCCGCCCATCGTACTGCATGCACCTATGATTTTAGCATGTTCGTCACCACCGCCACCGATGTCAGAGCATATTCCTCACCCCAACGAGACGTCTCACGCTCCCTGTCCCCGACTCCCCGGCAGGACTTGTCGCCTTCCTGTCCCTCTGGATTTGCCCCGTTTGGAGATTTCGTAGAACGAAGGCCGACCACACGTGGTCCTTTTGTGACTGGCTTCTGTCACGTGGCACCACGTACCCATGGCGTCATCCATGGGGCACGCCTGGTATGCGCGGCGTGCCTTTTTCACGCCTCAGTAGTATTCCGCCGCTGAGCCACACCAGCTCACTCACCTGGCCCACAGCGGACGGGCATTCGTGCGGTGTCCACGGTCTGGCTCTTCTGAGGCAGGTTGCCATGACGATGCATGCGCCTGGTTTTGTGCGCATGTGGTGGTTTTCCTTTCCTCGGGCGGACTCCAGGAGCGGAATCGCTAGGTCTCAGGATAAATCCGTTTGCCGTGGGAGGTGCGGGCAGGCTGTTTGCCACGGTGTCAGCCCCGCCTGCCAGCCCCCCTCAGAGCGTGGGCTCACGGCCGCACCGATGGGTGTCGCTCCCTGCCTCTGCTGATCAAGCTCCTCGCGCGGAAGTGGCGTCGCGTCTGACGTGGCTCTGACTTGCATTTCCTCGCTGGTTGTGGTGCTGCGCACCCCCAGAGTGGGTACAGAGGCCTAAGCCGCCCCAGAGTGGGTGCAGAGGCCCTTAGCCGCCCCAGAGTGGGTGCAGAGGCCTAAGCCGCCCCAGAGTGGGTGCAGAGGCCCTTAGCCGCCCCAGAGTGGGTGCAGAGGCCTAAGCCGCCCCAGAGTGGGTGCAGAGGCCTAAGCCGCCCCAGAGTGGGTGCAGAGGCCCTTAGCCGCCCCAGAGTGGGTGCAGAGGCGACTTATCCTCCCTTGGCGCCCGCGTGGCAGCTGGAGCGGCAGGGGGGCGGCCACGTGGCTCCAGCTGGTGAGGTGAAGCCGGGAGGTGCTGCCCACGGCAGTGACCTGCTTTCCCGGCTGCTTTTGTAGATGGAGCAACCGGACGGTGGGCGTGACGCAGGAGTTCCTGGAGTACCCGGTCAGCGGCACCCTGAGTGACGGCCCCGTCTCCGACAACTACGTGTTTCTGCCTAAGGGGCCCGCGGGCCCGGCGTGGGAGGCGGTGAGCCTGGAGATCGAGCGCGGGCGCCTCCTGACGGAGATCCGGCAGCACTTCTACAGGTGCTGGCCTCGCGGTGCGGCGCAGGAGGTGCCCGTGGCCGGTGCCGCGGGCCGCCTTCGCTCAGGCCCCCAGCTCCCGCGTGGCAGTGCCGCCGGATGGAGGTCGGGGGCAGGAATGAGGGCTCCGAGCTGCATCCTCCGGCTGCGTCTGCATGTGCTGTGCCGCCCTGGCGGTGTCTGAGCGGGGCCGGGACAGGGACCCGCGGCGCAGTGACAGCACAGGGGGAGTTCCCCTGTTTTCCCTGCCGGAAGCCATGGCCTGACTGGGCCTGAGCCCTCAGGGACCGGCGCCCCTCGTCCTGTCCCTGACAAGGCACCCTGCCCACCTGCCTGCGGGAGAGAGGGGCAAAGAAGCAAGAAAGGGCAGCCCTGGCTGGTGTGGCTCAGTGGATAGAGTGTTGGCCTGTGGACTGAAGGGTCCTGGGTTCGATTCCGGTCAAGGGCACATGCCCGGGTTGGGGGCTTGATCCTCGGTAGGGAGCATGCAGGAGGCAGCCGATCCATGATTCTCTCCCTTCCCTGATGTTTCTCCCTCTCTCCCTCTCCCTTCCTCTCTGACATCAATAAAATATATTAGAAAAAAGAAAGAAAACAGAGAGAGAGAGAGGGCAGGAGAGGAGGGGGCGGGGGAAGGGCATCCAGAAGGCCCGGAGGCTGCTGACCAGTTTGGCTCTTGTCTCCCAGGACGCTGGGCGCCAAAGAGCCCACCTACGTCATCTACTCCCGCCTGGCCCAGGTGCCGGCCGCCCGGGAGCTGCTCTGCGGCCGCCTGGAGCAGGAGCTGCGCGTGGGGCCGCTGCGGATGAACCGCGAGGCCGTCCTGCGGACCAGCACCGACCTGCAGAACCTGCAGGTCCTGCACTCGGACAGCAACGCCTTCCAGATGCAGCGGAGGCCGTACCGGGACCACCCGGTCCACGCCATCTCCCGGGTACGCCCGCCGGCCAGGCCCTGGGCGCGGCAGCCTCCGGCGGAGCCCCATGTGCTGCCCGTGGGGAGGCGCCGCGGCAGGGCCAGCCCGGCCGCTGGCCTCTGACCCCGGGCTGCATCTCTGTCTGCTGGCCCCCACCGTCCAGCCTGTCACCCCGGGGCGGGGGGGGGGGGAAGTTCTGCCCCATGGGAGCCAGAGGCACGGCTGTGTGGCTGCAGCTCAGCTCACGGGCCCTTACGCCAGCACCCATGGGCCCAGGGCCCCGGAGGGCCCATGTCCAGAGGGGGTCTTCGCACCCCATCTACAGAAGGGGAAACTGAGGCTCGAGAGGGCTCAGGTCCCCAGCCCACAGGTCAGGGGGCAGGGGAGCCGATGTGAGTCCCTCCCCGACGGCACCTGGAGCTGCCGCTGCGCCTGAGCGGGGGCTCGGCTGGACGGCCAGAGGGCCATCGCGGACCGGGCGGCCCGCCTTGCCCTGTGCCCGACGGCCCTCCTGGCCGTGTCTGTGTCCGCAGAATTACTACCCCATGGTGCAGTCGGCCTACATCGAGGACAGCGGGAGCAGGCTGGTGCTGGTCTCCGGGCAGGCGCACGGCGTCTCCAGCCAGGGGGACGGAGAGCTGGAGGTAGGCGGGGCCCCGCGCTGCCCCCCATGCCCCCCGCCGGGGCCCCGCACTGCCCCCATGCCCCCCGCCGGGGCCCCGCGCTGCCCCCATGCCCCCCCCCCCCCGCCCCCGGCGCCAGGGGCCTGCCACCCGGCTCTGCCTGCAGGTGCTGCTCCACCGGCGCCTGTGGAACGAGCTGGAGTTGACCCAGTACTTCAACGTCTCCCTGAAAGAGCCCTCGGTCGCCCGCCCGGAGTTCTGGCTCCTGCTGGGCCCCCCGTCCGTGACCACCCGCCTGCGCCCGCGGGCGGGGCGGGCCCTGCAGCACAGGCCCGTGGTGGTGCTGGGGAGGCTGAGCGGTAAGGGGGCGCCCAGAAGGAGCCCGTCGGGCCGGCGAGGACCTGGGGGCGTGGGTGCCCCCAGGGCACAGGCAGGGAGGCCGCGTCCTCTCGGGAGGGGTGCCTCGTGGGACGTCCTCTGAGATTCAGAGCAGACAGCGGGCGGGGCTGACGGCAGGGCCGGTGACCTGGGGGTTAGGTAGTGTCACCCCCAAGCCAAGATGAGCCTGTGGCCAGTCCGAGTGCTGCCTCAGGGTTCTCGTGTTTGACAGGAAAAGCGCTGACGGAGCAGCGAGTTGGGCAGAGGCTGGGCAGCTCAGGGCGGCAGGCAGAGCTGGGCAGCGGCCGGGGCAGGCGGGCAGCGCTGGGCTTCTCGGGAGCCGTCTCTCCCCGGACTGTCCGGAGCTGCTGCCTGCCCCACAGGCCCCATGCTGGCCGCCCGTGTTCTTCCTGGCGGAGACAGCCTTCCCCGCCAGGGGCGGGTGCTGCGCTCACTCCCTCCGTCCGTCTGCCCTCACTCGGTCTCTGTTGGTTGCAAATGAGAGACATGGAGGGACGGGCAGGGTGTAACGCGGACCGAGGCTGGAACCTGCATGAGGCTGTTTCGCCCTCCTCCGCCATCTCCCCACAAAGGAACCCCGACGCAAAAGTCCCAGGGAAAGATTCTGATTGGCCCTGTGGGGTCACATGACCCCAGCCTGGACCAACCACTGCGGCCTGGGGTGCAGCAGGGAGGTGGCACTCCAGCTGCAGCCCAGCGTTGAAAGGAGCAATTTCCCGGAAAGATGAGGGGCTGAGGTGTCCTCAGAGCAGAGACTGGGGTGACCAGGCGAGGGAGGAGCCGGCTTCCCAGGCGTGAATAGAAAACGGGTCTCCGTGTGAGCAGGGCCTCTGACCCGGAGCAAACAGTGCCCTCTGGGCCGTGGCCCCCCTGGACCTGCCGTGGATGGACCGGAGATTCAGGGGCCTCCAGCTCAGATTCGTCACCTGAGCTGCGGGGCCTGGGGGAGGAGGGGCATTGGGGCGGGGAGGACCTGGGCTGGGAGCCTGGGTGGACGCTGGGCCAGCCTTGTAGGCTGCCGTGGGGAGGCTGGGAGGTGGGCTGGGCGGGAGGGACCGGGCTGGAGGTCTCCGAAAGCAGGAGGAGGAGAGTGGCCCCAAACCCGCCCCCCTCTTGGTGTCGGTGGGCTTGGCAGAGGCTGACTCCCTGAGCGCCCGCCAGCAAGAGGCCGTGACGCTGCCCCCGAGTCTCCACCTGCAGACCCTGAGCATCCCCGGCTGGAACTACAGCTCAGACCACGCCGAGCACCTGCAGTACCTCAGGAAAGGTGGGCGGGCCCGGCCGGCCCTCCTCCCGCCCCGCCGCCCGGCCCCGCCGCCCCGCCGGGCACCTCCTCAGAGGAGTCACGGCTCAGGAGGTCACCTGGTCCCTTCGCCTGCCCAGTGGGGAGACTGAGGCCCACGGAGAGGCATCGAGGGCTCAGGGACGGAGGCCTGGACCCCAGCCCAGGACCTGCCCGAAGGATTCTCCCTGGACCCCTCTAAGCCCACCTCACCTGCACACCTTTGTCCACATCCTGCCGTACCTAGTGCTGCGCTCCGGGGGCCTCGGGCACCTGACTCCCGCCACCTCGGGGCCCTGGCAGCCGCCTGCCCGGAGCCCCCATGCATTCGTGAGGCCCTGTGCCCACAGCACGCCCCCCTCCCCATCCCACCCTGGGCCTCACGTGACCGGTGCGGCCAGGTCTCTGCCCGCTGTGCTCCTGGTCTAGAGGGCGGAGCAGTGAAGCCACTGGGCGGCGATGACGGTGCTCAGACCGAAGCCCGGGGCTGGGCGTCAGGGAGGGCTTCTCGGTGGAGGAGGGACCTCCCAGGGGCCACTGCTCCTGCTGCCGAGGCTCCAGCTGCCCCTCCGCTGCCCCTTGCACTTGAGTGGCTGGAAGGCAGGCTGGCTGCGCCCCAGCCACCCTGGGGTCCCCACAGTCCCACCCAGGACCTGGCCTCCCACGGAGTAAGAGCCTGTGGAATAAGGAAGCGGCAACAGGCCAAATAGCGTCCTTGTCCCTGAAAGAGAGCATGTGGGAGACCGTGGCTCATGCCTGCGTCCCAGAGGCTCCCTGACACTGACCCCAGCTCCTCAGCCCATCACAGGAGACCCTGGGCGGTGGCCTCTCACCCCCCCCCCCCCGCCCCTGCCAGCTCTCCTGGCAGTACTCCCCTCCCTCCCCCCCAGCAGACTTCTAACGTGACTCCTGTGGGCGGCTGGCTCCCAAGGAGGAGGAGGAGGAGGGGCTGGGCCGGCGAGCTCCGCAGCCCCCGATGACAAACCCCTCCCTGGAGGGGCCGGGGGAGCACCTGGAGGGCAGGATCCCCCCCTGACCCCTATGAAGTAGGCTGTCCTCCTCACCATCCTCCTCACCCGCCCCACCTCATGGCGGGGTGTGAAGCTCGAGGCCCCTCCTGAACCCCCGCGCCAGGACCTCGGAGAAGGAACCAAGGGCCCAGCTGGCCCTGTGTCCACAGCACGCCCCCCTCCTCACCCCACCCCTGCACACACCCCCTCTCCCCTCTCCCCGCCCGCCCCCCGACGCTGTCCTGCCGCTGTCTGTCTTGGGTCAGCAGCACAGCCCTCTGGCTGTGGGGCCAGGGACGGAGATGGAGGCCACGGGGCACCATGGGCTGCCTCAGTCCCGCTGACAGGAAGCGCTCCCGTCTGGAGTGACAGGTCGCTCTGCTCGCTTTGCACGGGCCTCAGGGTCCCGTGGCCATAGGCCGAGAAGGCGAGAGAGAATGCTCCAGAGCCGCACGCTGAGGACAGGGCGCAGGCCGCAGCCAGGGGGACGCAGGGCCGGGCCTGCCCCTCCTCGCTGAGGGAGCGCGTGTGTGAGTCCGGGCACAGTGGGCCCTCACGGCCGCCGCCCTCCCGCCCCCTCCCCCAGGCTTCCCCAGGAAGGCCAAGGCCGACCTCCGCCGCGTCCTGCTGCGGCTGCACCACCTGTACGAGACCGGGGAGGACCCGGTGCTGTCTCAGCCGGTGACCGTGAACCTGAAGGTGAGCCCCCATGTCCCTCCGCCGGGCCGCCCTGTCCAGCCTCTGGGGGCGCTGGGCCAGGGGTCACATGCCCGGCCACAATCCCGACTCGGAAACCACGCTGGCCAGAGGCGTGTCGGTGCGCTCACCGCGGACCGGACGGTGTGGGCTCTGGTGGGCCTCGCCGGTGCCCGCCTGACCCTTCTCCCGGAGGTTGTTTGAGATGCCTCCCGCCGCCTGTGTGCCCCCGGACGCCCCCTTTCCCAGCCTCCCGGTCTCCTCCCTCACCTGCCCCCCCACCCCCGCGGGCCCTCGGCGGCCGGGAGCAGGTCTGAGCGCGGTCAGGGCGCAGGGGCGGCAGAGGTGGCCCCGCCCAGGCGGCGTGCCGAGCCCCGGGGCCAGGTGGCCGGCGGACGCCGAGTGGATGGTGCTGGTCCGTGGCCCCAGCGGGCCTCAGGAGGACGGTGCGCGGCTGCCAGGCGGCTGCCAGCGAGGGTGTCAGGAGCAGGCCGGGCGTTCCCACCAGCGGACACGGCCGGGCCGTGTGTCCTCGGTCACGCTGTCCTCCGGCTGTCCTCCGCCCGGCCTGGGTTGACTCCATGGCAAAGGGGCGGGCAGGAGGGCTCCGTGTGGGGGGCAGCTCTGAGCGCCCGCCACCTCCCGGGCACACCCATCCGCGGGCAGCGGGAAGCAGCCTCCTGGCCTCAGTTTCCTCCCCGGGGCCGGGGTGGGAATGGAGTGAGGGGGTGCCCCCGCCGCCCCTGCAGCCGTGCGTCCTGGGCTCAGCCCTCGCGCTGTTCCCGCAGTCCGTGCTGCGGGGGCTGGGCTCGCTGGTGGCGGTGGAGGAGCGCTCGCTGACGGGGACCTGGAGTGCGGACTCCCTGCGGCGCTGGAGCTGGAGGACGCGCACCCCAGGTGTGGGGGCCCGGGTGTGGGTGCTGCCCGCGCGGCCCCTTCAGGCCCCTCACCTCCTCTGGCTCTGCAGCCGCCCTGAGTCTGCCTGAGCCGGGAGGAGCGGCTCTGGCCAGTGCCCGCCTGCCAGGCTCCACACAGGCGCGTGCCAGGAGCGAGTGCGTGTGTGTGAGCGCGTGTGCAAGTGTGTGTGCGTGTGCCTGTGTGCGAGTGTGTGCGTGTGTGTGTGTGCCGAGTGTGTGTGCGCGAGAGTGTGTGTGTGTGTGTGTGTGTGTGTGCGCGTGAGCGAGAGCGTGTGTGTGTGTGTGTGTGTGCGCGCCTGTGTGCGAATGTCTGTGTGTGTGTGTGCGCGCGCCTGTGTGCGAATGTCTGTGTGTGTGTGTGCCTGTGTGTGTGTGCTGGCCACACCGCTGCCCGTGCCCGGGTGAGACCCACGCTCGCCGGCGTGCCCCAGGGTCTGAGTGTGCCAGGCTGTGCCCGCTCTGCACACACCACCATGCCCCCGCCAACCACAGGCTGCTTGCTGCCGCCCAGGCTTGGCCGACACCATTGCCTCCGCCGGAGCGTGCCGGGCCTGCCTTCCCGCCTGTCCTGCTCCGGGCCAGGCCGGGGCAGACCTCTGCTCTGTCCACTGCGCCGCACCATGGCGGGGATGGGAGGGGGCGTTCAGTCAGTGTGGGGTGGGCGGGGGGGTCATGCACGGGTGGTGCAGGAGGAAGGGTGGGTGAGCGGTAGGAGCCCAGTCCCAGGGAAGGACTCGGGGAGCCAGCGAACGGAAGGGCCTGAGGCCACGGGACCGGCACCGGCTCCTCTGCAGGCCCGGTGCCCGGGGAGGGCAGAGATGCGAGGCCGTGGCCGTGGGGCCCGGCAGGAGGGGCAGCCGCACTCTGTGGTGCCGGGGGTCCCAGGAGTGGGGGCTCCGGGGGAGGGCGGGCGGGGCTGACCACCTCTGCCCCTCCAGGCGGCGCCCGGCCCAGAGCCTCTCGAGGCCCCGTCGTCACCATCGGCCCCAAGGAGATCCGGACCTTCTTCGCCCACTTCCAGCCGCACTGAGTGCTCGCCAAGGCCGAGGGCCAGGGCCTCCGGACCCGGGGACCACGGCGCCCGACGCGCCCGGCCGCGGGGACGGGCGGGCGGCCGGCGGCCGCCTACTCGGCTGTCCGGGACGTGGCCAGTCCCGGTTTCTTAGCTTCTGAAATAAAAGCTGCATCATGAGGACCCGCTTCTTCTCCTCGGCCTCGGCGCCAGCCCCTCCTCTCCTGTCCCCTGGTGACACCCCCACCCCCACAGCTCCGGGTTCACCCGCAAAAGTCAGAGCCGGGAAGCAGGGCAGGCAGAGCGCGGAGCCAGTGGCCAGTGCCCGCTGCAGGCCCCGCGGTCTCACCGAGGCCGCACTGTGAGCCGTGGCTCTGCCGTGGGACCGGCGACGTGGGGTGGGGCTGGGGCGGGGGAGCAGGAGGCCATGGGTGCTCTGGGCTCGGCGTCTGGGTCCGGAGGGCCCTTGGGAAGGTCTCCCTGGGCAGGGCTGTGAGCTGCAGAGACGCAGACAGAGTCTGGGACACCCTGCCGACACCCGACACCCAGCCGCCCACGGAAGATGTGACCCCGCCCACGGCTCGTCCCCTCGCCTTTGCCAGGCTCCGGGGCCTCCACCACTCAGTGTCACCCCGATTGTCTGACTGCTCCCACCGCCGTGTGCCCCAGAGAGAAAATTCCCCAAAGAGCACCACGCCCAGCGCTGTCAGTGTTTATGAGGTGACGCCAAGCTGGGGCGGGCAGGCAGGCGGGGAGATAGTCCATGGTTTTCCTTCAGGAGAAGAATGCAGACAGGACGATGGGGGTCACCCCATCCTCTTCACGGTCTGTGTCCCTGCCCCGCCACATGTACCCACACATGCCTGCTTGTGGGCACACACACACACACACACACACGCTCACACACATGCACTCTGGAACGTAGCCCCCCTACCTCTGTCTCCAGCATCTAGCGCGGTGCCTGACACTGGGAGACCCTCAGAGAAAATGCTTTTCACCCGAATGAAGGAGACCAGGCATCTGACTGGATTTCAGCACTGACGCTCACTAGGAAGTCCCTGAATTTATTCTAATCGGCTTTCTCACCGTAAAAATGGAGCTAATGCTCCTCATGCCTGGCTTATGTGCATGTGTGCGTGTGAGGGTTCCCTGAGGAAAACACGGTCATCGCTTAGACCAGCGCCCGGCATGGAGTTCATGCCCCATACAGGCTGGCTGTTCTGGTGGTGACAGCGATGGTGGTGGTGGTGGGATGCGGATGGCATTGGTGGTGGTGGTGATGCTGTGGTGGTGACAGTGATGGTGGTGGTGGTGGTGGTGATGCTGTGGTGGTGACAGTGATGGTGGTGGTGGTGGTGGTGATGCTGTTGTGGTGACAGTGATGGTGGTGGTGGTGGTGGTGATGCTGTGGTGGTGATAGCGATGGTGGTGGTGGTGGTGGTGATGCTGTGGTGGTGACAGTGATGGTGGTGGTGGTGTGATGGGGATGGCATTGGTGGTGGTGGTGATGCTGTGGTGGTGACAGCGATGGTGGTGCTGGTCATGGTGCTGTGATGGTCATGGTAATGGTGTTGACAGTAGTGTTGACAGGCGGTGAGATGGTGAAGTGATGGTGACAGTAAAGGTGATGATTGTGGTGTGATAGTGTTGCTGTCGGTGATGGTGTTTCTGTAGTTGGTGGTGGTATGATGGTGATGGTGTTGTTAGCGATGATGATGTGGTGTTGTTACTGGTGGTAATGGTGTTGCTGTTGCTGTTGTTGGTATAATGGTGATAATGTTATTGGTGATGATGGTATGGTGTTATGGCAGTAATGGTGATAGTGTTGCTATTGGTGGTGATGATGTGGTGGTGTGATGGTGTTGTTGGTAATGGTGTTGTGGTGATGGTGTGGTAATGGTGTCGTTATTGGTGATGTGATGATGATGGTGGTGGTGATGGTGTGGTGGTGTGATGATGATGTTGTTGGTGGTGATGGTGTGGTAATGGTGTTGGTGGTGGTAATGGTGTTGTTGTTGGTGGTGATGGTGTTGGTGGTGATGGTGTGGTGATGGTGTTGGTGGTGATGGTGTTGGTGGTGATGGTGTGGTGATGGTGGTGGTGGTGGTGATGGTGGTGTTGGTGGTGATGGTGTGGTAATGGTGTTGGTGGTGATGGTGTGGTGATGGTGTTGGTGGTGGTGATGGTGTTGGTGGTGATGGTGTTGTTGGTGGTGATGGTGTTGGTGGTGATGGTGTTGGTGGTGATGGTGTGGTAATGGTGTTGGTGGTGGTGATGGTGTGGTGATGGTGTTGGTGGTGGTGATGGTGTGGTTGTGGACACTGACACACCAGTGAAGCGGAGAGTGAGCCTGATTACTGCTCTCCCTCCAGGGAAGCTGCCATGTCACAGCCTTGGCCACCAAGGTGAGTCCCGGGGAAAGGATTTCCCACCCGCACTGACCGCCTGTGTCGAGGGGCTATTTGCCAGGCCCTCACGCTGCAGGGCTGGCCCGGGTCCCGGGGCCGTCGGGCTGCCCGGCAAGCGGCCAGGCAGCGGCCAGGCCTCGGGCCAGTCCCTGGGTGCTGGCCGGCGTGCTGGGAAGGCGCAGGCTCACGTGAAGAGTCTGACAGCCGCCGGCAGCTTCAGCGTGCTTGCGTCCGGGTGCCCGTGGAGCTGGCGGCCGAGGGGGCCGCACACAGCGCGTGGGGGTGGGTGAGCACGTTTGGATTAGAAAAGGCCAAAGCGGCTATCAGCCGCAGAGCTGGGCTGTAACATTCCAGCGTGTCCTGTTGATTTATGGCTGTTGCTAGGTAACCAGTACACTGAGGCGGGTGTGATTGGAAAGCTGCGAGCAGTGCTCCACCAGAGACACAGAAAGAGAACCATTAAGCTGGGGAGCTGGGGGGCTGGGGGCTGGGGGCTGGGGGGATAGGGGAATAGGGCTGGGGGGCAGGGGGGCTGGGGGGCTGGGGGCTGGGGGGATAGGGGAAGATAGGGGAATAGGGCTGGGGGGCAGGGGGGCTGGGGGGCTTGGGGCTGGGGCCTGGGGGACTGGGGGCTTGGGGGGCTGGGGGGTTGGGGGGCTGGGGGACTGGGGGGCTGGGGCCTGGGGGACTGGGGGCTGGGGGGCTGGGGGGATAGAAGGATAGGGCTGGGGGGCTGGGGGGCTGGGGGCTGGGGGCTGGGGGACTGGGGGGCTGGGGGGCTGGGGGCTGGGGGCTGGGGGACTGGGGGCTGGGGGCTGGGAGGGTGTCGTGCGGCCCAGAGGAGGGGCGCTGTTAGAGGCAGTTAGAGGAAGCGGAGGTCCCGTCCCCCCCCCCACCCCCCCCGTGCTGTCCTCGCAGTGCAGTCCTGCCAGCCCCGGGAGCCGCCCGTGCGCCCCTCCCTCTGAAGGACACGGGTGACCCGGCCTTTTCTTCTGAGTAAATCGATTAGCAGCACGTGGCTGGGTCCTCGCAGGGCGCCGCTGTGGGCGTGCCAGGGCGTGTGGGAGCCTGGCGGGCGACTCATTGTCTTCACGTCCCTGACAAATGGCTCCGCCGCCACCAGCACCATCGCTGCGAGCACGTGTGGCCCCACTGCGTGGCCCCGGGACTCCCGTGTGAACGAGACCGACGACCCTCCCCCGCCAAACGGCATTCAGACGGGGCCAGACACTCCCGACAGCCGTCCCGTGTACAACGGCCACGGGGAAGCAGAGCCGCGGTGAGGGATGGGCGGGGGGCTCGCTGCGATTGTAAGTAGAGGATCCGATTAGCCTCCCCGAGAAGGTGACATTCGAGCCGAGTCTGAAGGAAGGGGCAGGGGCCTGGCAGGCGGGAGCGTCGGGCGGAGGCTGGCCCGGGCGGGTGCACAGCCCTGCAGCTGGGGAAGCGCAGGAGGCGGTGCGGACGGGAGAGCTGGGCAGTGGAGGCAGCAGCAGGTCCTGTAGGGTCCTTGGGCCTGTGGGGGCACATGATGCAGAAGGGGGGGCGCTAGGTGGAGAGGGGAAGCCACCGATCACTGGGTTCTGTGCCGGCGGCTGTGGGGTGTCCCTGAGAGGTGTCTGCTCACCATCCAGTCCGTGGGCAGCAGGCTGAGCCCCGGGGAGGAGCTGGGGCAGGTGCGGCGACGCTGAGTGGCTGAGCCTGACTCCGGCCTTCCCTGCCGCTCCTTACCGGGGCCAGACCCACGCAGGGCGGGCACGCAGGGCACAGCTGGCAGCGGGCCTGGGCGCCGGGCACACAGCTCAGGTCCGAGGCCGGCCCCTCCCAGCTCCCCGGGGTGAGCTGGGACCAGCGCCTCCATCTCCCGGTGCCACGTCCCTCCGTCTGTGAAACTAAGGGGCACCGGCTGCCTGTCCCAGACCAGCCGGCCAGCCAGGCGCAGGACTCCCCATCCGCACGTCTCTGAGCAAGCGGCACTGGGCAGCTCTGGCGGTTTAGGGGTGACGGTTTGCGGGGTGATGGTTTGGGATGACGGTTTAGGGGTGACAGTTTGCGGAGTGACGGTTTGTGGGGTGACAGTTTGCATGGTGATGGTTTAGGGTGATGGTTTGCATGGTGACGGTTTAGGATGATGGTTTGCATGGTGACAGTTTGGGATGACGGTTTTGGGGTGACAGTTTGTGGGGTGACGGTTTTGGGGGTGACAGTTTCCCGGGTGACAGTTTGCGGGGTGACAGTTTGCAGGGTGCGGTTTTTGGGGTGACAGTTTGCGGGATCACAGTTTGTGGGGTGACAGTTTGCGGGGTGACAGTTTGTGGGGTGACAGTTTGCAGGGTGCGGTTTTTGGGGTGATGGTTTGCATGGTGACGGTTTAGGATGATGGTTTGCATGGTGACAGTTTGGGATGACGGTTTTGGGGTGACAGTTTGTGGGGTGACGGTTTTGGGGTGACAGTTTGTGGGGTGACGGTTTTGGGGTGACGGTTTGCGGGGTGACAGTTTGCGGGGTCACAGTTTGTGGGGTGACAGTTTGCGGGGTGACAGTTTGTGGGGTGACAGTTTGCATGGTGACGGTTTAGGGTGATGGTTTGCATGGTGACAGTTTGGGATGACGGTTTTGGGGTGACAGTTTGCGGGGTGACAGTTTGTGGGGTGACAGTTTGCATGGTGATGGTTTAGGGTGATGGTTTGCATGGTGACAGTTTGGGATGATGGTTTTGGGGTGACAGTTTGCGGGGTGACAGTTTGCAGGGTGCGGTTTTTGGGGTGACAGTTTGCGGGATCACAGT